CGCGTCATCCGACTCAACGATATTTTAGCTGGCTATCGTTATTCGGGCTGTGCACCAGCCGGAATGTTGGGCCGGAAGTGTGCAAGAATTTCAGGCAACAAACTTGAAAAATCTACGAACTCCCCTCGCAAGATACGTTCTTGCACAGCCTTGGGCACAGCTGGTGCAGGTGGCTGATCGGGTGGGTTACAGGAGCTTGGCCTGGCGTAGTGGCGGCAGCTGCCGCATTGCCTTGGCCTTGGGTGAGGAGCGGCGCCGAGAGTGAATGCTCTCCGATAATAATAAAATGGCAGCCGACAAAGCCGACTACACCTCGTCCCGTACGGGAGCGCAGAGATCCGTTGAGCCCGCGTCACCTGAGCTGGCGGAGGAGGCATTGGTGCACGTCGGGCTTCTGGGCTCGCGAGCCATGTCCGCACTGTCATGTTGCTGGTTCTCCTGGCCGGAGCAGACCTCACTACCAAGGGCTAGTTGTGCCAGCAAACGGTCCTGTAAAATACTTTTACTAAGTTTCCTTTCGGATTCAAGCCGCGCTGAGAAGGCTCGCCGCGGAGGGCTTGGCAAGGCATTGCCTTGACAGTGTCGACAGTAAGGTCAGACATACTGAAGAAATACAGTGTCGAGGTGACACTCGGGCTGGCAGCAAAGCTACGAAAGGAAAAGAAACACTGCTGAAGCACGATCCGTTGTCTGGAAGAGCACAACAGGGCAAGCAAGGTTTGTTTTTCTTTTCCGCAAAAATGAGCTGGTGCCATTTGTGATTACGCAGCAAAACAAAGCGCATGACGTCAGTCTTGAATGCAGTACAAAGCAATGCAGTGCAGTGTGTGCGCTAGTTCGGATTGTTGCTAACAAGTACTAGCACAGCTAGTACACCAATATTCTGCTTTGGCACGCGGGGATACATATTCACTTTGTTGTACTTATGGAGCCCCAAAGTTGGGAAAATTGTGACTTTTTCGTACTTGCAAGTGGCCATAAGTACAACAAAATGTTACACGAGTATCCCCATACCAAGGTGTCATGCACGATACATGTAGAGATCAACATGGAAAAGGGAAAATATTACTTCTATAAATTCATTAGTTGACTTCTTTTGTACATCAGTAAAAAAAAATTTCATTGCCGAATTAGTTTGATTTACCTTTGAATATTCAGTTATCATGTTCAACTCTCTTCATAATCGTCATACCCGTCCAACTGATGTCACCCTCACCCTGCGAATAAGCTCATCTCTCCCGTAGCTCCACCTCTCCTTCCATCATGACCGAACATCAACTATACCTCAATTTATTATTATTATTAGAGCAAAATCCATAGCCTTCACAGTCATGGCTGCTAAAATCCAGAGCCAGGTTAGGACTTCGTAACCTGCATTATTACATGTACGCGGACTACCCCTCACTATCTCGTCCGCCCCAGGATACCTGATAAAGGCGGATTCACTCAGCATCTTCTGCTACATGTACTGTATCAGTGTGAGAAAGAACAGTTTGAAGAAGGCGAGTTCGAGCACACAATAATTTATCAGTGCCATGATTAGAATACCATTCAGGGCATCGTTCTGATTCTGGGTGGCACCGCGGCAACAGCGCTCCGACAATTGTCGGTATGGAAGCCAAAATTAATGATGGTGGACTGGGTGTATGGCTTGAAGCACAGCTAGTGGGATGGAGTCAAAATGTACATCATATTGTGGAGGTCTGTTCAGATCATAATGCAAGATGGTTCTTTCTTAGAATTCCAGATACCTTGTGGTCATATGCTGAACTCCATGCACAAAACAGGAACAAATCTACTTCGTTTCTTCTCCACAATTCTCAAATACAGCTCGTTGGCTAGCACTACATAGAGTAGCCGACCGCAGTAGAGTATTCAAAGCAGACAAATCGACAATACGCCTATCACTAGTCCATTCCTGTTCCTGATCGGTGTCTGACTCGCCATCTGAAGCGCTGTCATTTTCTTCAGCAAATGGCAGTTCATTCCATTTCTTCAGCGATTGATCAATTTTTGCTAATTCACACAATTCCTCTACTGGCTCGTCTAGGCATGAAGCTATCAGCGACTTTAGAGGGGTCTTTTGACCACTGCGACTGGTTGCGACGAAACGATCGTCTTTTCTTCCATCCTCTGACGGTACTTGTATGTCAGCGAAATCGAAACCAGAAAGAAAGAAAAATTCAAAATGATTTTCACAACGACGCGAGGAGCTAGTGCCTGGGCCTCGAGGAACAGCGGAGGTGTTAGGAGGCTGTGTTTGTCCCTCACACGGCGATTCAGAAACCACACCTACTAGTGAAACAAAGAACACACGCAAATGCAAAACACCACGACACAATTTACTTCCCTCCCTTTACTTCCACAAACCCGTCGCTGAAGCGATAATAGCGAACAAACTTGTGCTAGTAAATACACCATTCAACAGCTTTCAAGGCTGATGAATTGACCACCCCAAAGTATTTAAAAAACGCAAGTTATGTGTTGTAAAACGGACTATAATTATTGTGGATCAAATTGCCAACACGCATCCCCTTTCCACTGTGAAATTTGAACTGGACATGGTACAGTGTCACTGTGCATGCACATCCATTATACATACACACCTGCATTGATACGTGTACTTATGCTAAGCCCAGTGATTAGTTCTACGCAGTTCTACACAGCTGGCGTTCACATAATGAAGGAGACAGAATCACTGTCAATTTTACGTCATCCCACCCAGTGTAGTAAAGTAATAAAATTATACTTCTAACTCAGTCAATGTTTTCCCTATCTTTTCCATTGTTTTCTCTATAATTTCATAGAAAGAACAGAAGATATACGAAGGGATGCGATGAAAATAAGAGATGGCTCAACGGGTACGTGAGCGTGAAGACGTTCCTGTGATGGGTACCTCATTCAGTTCATTCGCAGGTAACACTCCAGTCTCCAAACCCAACGTTTCCGACAGTGCTGTGTGTGCAACTCGCCAGAGCAAGCCAGAAACACACTCATCTAAACAATGTAATCCCAGTGTGAAGAAGCATCCCAGCATAATGTCGCAACCATCCAGTGAAACATCTATTAACTCCACAAGACACATCCAGTGCGAGGGGAACGCTCGTTGTCATCTTCCGTCAAAAGGACGCGGAAGGGTCCCAGTACAGTCGTCCAAGGCTGTTGTTGCTAGTGTTGGAGCATCTATTATCACGCAACGGGCATATAATGAAGATCTCCTCAAGAAAATTGCCAAAAGAGGAAAGAGGTTTGGTGGGAATATACGATTGCTCAACGTGATCGTAAAGAAGCTGCTGCCCAGGATGCCTCATTCAGATCATCCACAGGTAACACGCCAATCTCCAGACCCCACTTTTCCGACAGCGCGGTGTGTGCGCAGAGCAAGCCTGACACACACTCATCTGTAGGAAGTATTGCCAGTGTGGAGCAGCACGCCAGGTTAATGTCGCAGCCATCTAGTGGAACATCCACAACACAAACCCAGTCCAGTGAAAAATCTATTACCTCCTCGAGACAAATTCAGCCTGAGGGGAACGCTCGTTGTCATCTTCCGCCAAATGGACGCGGGAGGGTCCGAGTACAGCCGTCCAGCAAGGCTGTTGTTGGTAATAGTGGAGCATCAACTGGGAAGAAAACCAGTGTGTGTGTGGAGGATTGGCAAGGGATAGCCCGGAACAAAGAGGGTCTATAACAATGACCTCCGTCAAATCTGAAGTTAAGATGGCTGACAAGCCTGAAACTTTTATATCTCCCAAGCCTGAACCAGTGATTGTAGCAGGTACAGATGTGGACTGTTCGCCATCATTTTGCCTAGTAGGCTAGATAAAGTGAACCATAGAAGCGCGTTGCAGAGAGCGTCGTTTCCAGCCAGTGGGACACCTGCCTCCCAGACGACAAAGAAGTCCTAATCCATTTGCTTTGCAGGCTTTCAGATTGCACTAGTCGGTCTTCCGAAGAAAGTACACGCCAAGAACAAGACTTTTCAACGAGATGAGTCAAAACTCAGTCTTGTCAGGTAAGGCAGGTAGCTTAAACTACTACTACAATGATCGTTGTGAGATGAAACAGTGGCACTACGGGGACTTCGACAGCTAAATGGTTGGCATTCGTAGCGTGGCTGGTGAAGAGTGTCTGTACTGTCACTGTATGTAGATTTACTCTACTGTAGATACCGGAAAACTAGTCTCGTAGACAAATACACGCACGGATAGCACAGAAGTAATACTGGAATAACTCAACACGAAACAAGACTGTCTTCTTCTTGACTCCTTGAGTCCTTCGTTTGTGAAATTGATCTGCCAGAAGCCTAGTTTCCACAATCGACTTTTTTTACCACGTTTGACTTGTGGACCCCGAGGTCATGCAAGTCACGTACAATACAGTGACGCTTAGAATCTGCACGTGAATTGAAGCGATTACCTGTATAGCAAAGGTCAAGATCAGCACATCCCCTTACGCCTTAGCATCCCCATCACCACACACATTTCGCATTACATGCATGATGTATTCATGATGGATCTGTTTTCTGAGAGGGTGAAGTGCAGCGCGAGCTGACATAGACTGCATAACGCGCTCAAAGTCAAACTCACGTACATCTACAATAGCTTTACGTGACTCAGCCACTACACATGAGTGACCGTACCGCGCACGTACACGTGGGAGGTCAGCCGTCAGCAGAGTCCACGCTTACATAATACATGTCATGTAATAATAATAATTAGTATATAACTATTAAAATGGGGCTGTTAATTTAATAGTGTGACGTCAATGGGCCCTTGGCTACGCGTGGACACGCAGAGCACAGTGGGAAAATGGTGGCGAGACCCAGCGGGATACGGTAATCTTGATCCTCTCTACATGTACGCGCGCTCAGATTCTAAGCGTCGCAGCTCGTGAAGCCCTATCATGTGCTTCACCTACGCCTACAACCTGTAATAAAGGTGAGCGCGGGAACTAGACTTATCGCAGTTACGTTACACAAGTCAGTAGTGAAGAAGAAATCGGTTCCGTTTGGTGTTGATTCACTACTAGCTGTTTACAGTTCTGACCTGTAGTTTCATGAGACTAGTTTTGTTGTAGATCTACAGCGTGTACAGAGCTGATCTACGTGCACGTTGCGATTTGAAAGACTCCTTGTTCACTGCTGCTTTACTCCTGGAAATCACGGTTTTCTAAGCTACAACTTACTCCGTGTGTGTGACCACCTCGAAGAAGTGTTTTAGCAGACCTTCTGTCAGCAGCAGGTATTTCGAAATGGACGTATCGGAGAGAACACCGCGGAATAGTGACATTGACCGTCCCCGCCTTCAGGTGAGTACATTTTCATTCCTTCAAACAAGTTTCTCAGTGACTGCTTTTATTGAGTATTCAAACGTCATCTGACTCTCATGAGTTTGAGGCTCAGCTTTTTTTTCTTCTTCTTATCTTGCACTCTGCTGCCGTGTATTTTTATGTTCGAAAATGGCTCATGGGAAGATGTTGTCACCAATAAGATATTTAGCAGTTGCGTGTCAGTTAGCCGGTGCCCTCGAGATCGAATGCTTTTGAATAAATGAATAATCTTGGTTACTGACACTATGTAGCCAATGACCATCTTGTGCTTACACTTGAAAAGGGTTGTGCACCATACGTATCTGAGTTTGGTTCAGTATTACTCCTTTGCTAGTTTTAGAGTTAGATAGTCAATGTGCTCATCTACATGTACATGACATTGTACTGGATCTGCGGACAGAACTGTTGCGCAATTTGTGGGCTCATCAGAGCGGCACAGAGAAAATGAGACCGAACGTGATAGCAATGAAATTATAAAATTTCCAAGGCCAGACATAATATAAAGACTGACTTGTAAGAGCAAGTCGTAATGCTGCATAACAGCAATGTTCGCAATGGCCCCTTTCCACATTTACACTGGAAGTAGGCCTGCAAATTTTACAGTGCAAATGAACTATCAGTGTACTGTTGGAGAACCAACTGGCCGGATGACTGAACAGCGACATAGGCGACTTGCAACTGTAGATCCTTATTATTATCAGCTAGCAACTGGTATAACGGCATTCAGAATGAGCATACACAAGCGCATGTAGTTGATTCTGATGATGTCTTTGGGTTTTGTTTGTTTTCATGGTTCAATCATAGGAGCGCAGCGTTGCAGGTTTGAGGAATATATTGTCGAAGAACGCTAAGTGCCCCAAGGTAAGCGCCCGTTCTGACTAAGCATCCTCGAAAAAACAAGTTTTCTAACCCTCAATTATGTATTTCCTTTTCAAAGAATGACTGGGGGAGTTTTATAACCTTGCTGAAGAGAAGTCCAAGTCTAGAAATGACTATAGCGTAGTTGCCAGCACGTATTCCACTCTCTACGTCGAAATTTGGTTTGGTTATGTGACCAATGATGCCCTGTCTACAATAATTATACGTATGCAGTACTAGTATGACTGTATAGACACACACACCTCAGACCCCAGACATGCCCATCGCGGAAGCGTTGATAGCGAACAGCTATGACAGACATAGCACCTTGTGCTGGGATTACACCATTCAACAGCTTGCAAGGCTTACACACACACACACACACCACACACACACGCACACACACACACACACACACACACACACCTCAGACCTCAGACATGCCCATCGCGGAAGCGATGATAGCGAACAGGTATGACAGACATAGCACATTGTGCTGGGATTACACCATTCAACAGCTTGCAAGGCTGACACACACACACACACACACCAGACACACACGCACACACACACACACACACACACACACACACACACACACACACACATACACACACACACACTCTTGTTTGCTTTGGTTTTTATTATTCCATTTCGCTGCCTCAACAGTACAACGTACATTTTTTTTAAGTCTTGTACAGTGTACTTTCGCATCAATACACATGCAAACATGCGTTATATGCAAATGCATGTGCATGACTGTATAATAGATCCATGATTACTTCTGCACAGTTCTGCATAGTTTTCACTGATATCATGATATGAGGGCAACAGAATCACTCTCAAGATGACGTCTTCGCAACCAATGTGGTAAAGTGATGCAATGAATTTTGAACTGGATCACTGAATTGCCTGTCTTTGCCCTTTGTTTTCTCTTGAATCTTGTAGAAACGAGCGTCAGATGATTATGAAATAGATGATATCCTCCAGAAAATGGCAAAGAAGAACGAAGAGATTCAACGGAAATTCGATATCGCTCAACGAGATCGTGAAGAAGCTGCTGCCGTGGGTGCCTCATTCCGTTCTTCCCAACGTAGCACGCAGACCTCCAGAGCCAACGTTTCTTACGGCGCTGGGTGTGCTCAAAGTCAAAGCAAGCCCGGAATAATGTCCCCGCCATCCAGTCAAACATTTGGTATGTCCTGTGGACAAATCCAGTCTGCCGGGAGCGCTTGTGGTCCTCTTTCACCAAAAGGACGAGCCAGGATACGACCACTGTCTTCCCACATGGCTGTCGTTGGTTATGTCGGAGCATCAACTGGGTCACAGGCATCAAGTCAAACTTCTACCATATCCTCGAGACAAGTCCAGTCTGCGGGGAATGCTGTTTGTCGTCTCCAGCCAAAAGGGCGCGGAAGAGTCCGAGCATTGCCTCCAAACATGGCTGGTGCTGGAAATGTTGGAGCCTCAACAGGGCCGCATACTACCGGATATGGACGAATGACGTTGACTCCCACCGAACAACCTGAATCCAAGCAGAAGGTGAGGGATAGTGATTCGTTGCAGACTGCGTCGTTTCCATCGAGTGAGTCGCCGTCTCTACAGGCCAGCAAGATGCCTGTATCCAATGAAACGAACGAAACGTTGCAAAAGGATAAATCCACACTTTTTCTGGTCAGATCCAAGTGTGGACTAAGCCAAACAAGACTCCCACCGAACAACCTGGATCCAAGCAGGAGATGAGGGATAGTGACTCATTGCAGAGTGCGTCGTGCCCATCGAGTGAGTCGCCGTCCCTCCAGGCCAGAAAGAAGCCGGTATCCAATCGTTTTGCAAGGTTTCAGGGTGCGCTACTCGGCCTTGAACCAACGGTCCGGGTGACTGAACAGCGAAATAGGCGACTTGCAACTGTAGATCCGTATCTCCGACGCTAGCAACTGGTATAATAGCACTGAGGGTGAGCATACACAAGCGCATGTAGTTGATTTTGATGATCTCTTTGCGTTTGTTTCTTTTTATGATTCAATCATAGGAGCGTGGCGTTTCGGGTGTGAGAGATTTGTTGTCGAAGAGCGCGTCAGCCAAGTCACACGTACCGCTGAATCCAAATGCAGCGCCATTTGTTCCTGGCGTACTGAGAGCACCAGGCCCACCTACGGTAAGCTACCACACAATTTCTCATATCATTATAATTATTACTCAAGTCTGTATCTTCGCCATAAAGTACACCACATCCATCGCCTCTTGTATGCCCACAAAATTAACATCTTATCTATTATTGAGTATTAACGAAGCTCATCTTGATAGCAGTATACTCGACCTCAACGTGCATATTCCAGGCTAAAATCTGTACGGCAGGGACCGAGATTTACATGCTGGTGGAGTTTCCCTCTACGTCCATTCTGACATTCACTCAGTGAGAGTACCAGTGGCTGACTCAGAAGTGGAGTGCCTGTTTGTCCGTGTACGTATTAGCGCTTCACCAAAGGCGACAGAATTGGTTGTATGCAGTGTGTACACTTCACCCAGTACTGCTGTTAATTTTTGGCAATTGCACTGCCAGCATCTTTACGCCGTAACCCGCAGCGACTGTAGAGTTATTGTCCTTGGATAATTCAACACTGATGTGCTACACCCTACACCCACCAGTTACCATAATTATAAGCACCTGCTCAACTTGTGTGCAGGTCCAAGTCTAGAAATGACTATAGCGTAGTTGCCAGCATGAATTCCACTCTCTACGCCGAAATTTGGTTTGGTTATGTGACCAATGATGCCCTATCTACAATTATGCGTATGCAGTACTAGTATGTGTAACACTAACCTGACCTGACCTTTGACGCCCATCGCCGGAGGCGATGATAGCAATGCTACGGCAGAAGCCATAGCAACTTGTGCTGGGATTACACCATTCAACAGCTTGCAAGGCTGAAGAATTGACCGTCACTATTCAGCCTGGTCTACACCATACAGCTATTTGGAGTGAAATTTTCTGGCCAGTGAATCCCTATTTTTGGTCTTTTTTCATTTTTTTTCCCCCACACACACATCACACCACATACTCCGGCATGCACTGGCTGTTGGTAACCACCCAGGAGAATGAAAGAAAAGTCAGGAAGAGTCTGAGAAAGAGATGAAAGACGTGTGCGACCATAATCGTCGGGAATCGAACCCGCAATCTATCGATTGGAAATCGCTGCACATACCACTGCACCATATGGGCACACACAACAGACCATAGACACACACACAAACACAAGTCATACAGACAAACATACACATACACACACACCACACACACACACACACACACACACACACACACGCATGCACACACACACACTCAAACCCACACAGACACACACTCTTGTTTGCTTTGGTTTTCATGGTTTCATTTCGCTGTCTTATCAGTACAACGTACACTTAAGTCTTGTACAGTGTACTTTCGCAACAATACACATGCAAACAGGCGTTATATGCAAATGCAGAATATGTACATGACTGTATAAATTATAATCTATGAGTACTTCTGCATAGTTCTGCACAGTTTTGACTGATATCATGAGGGTAAGAGATTCACTGTCACTATGACGTCATCGCAACCAATGTAGTAAAGTGACGCAATGAATGTTGAACTGGTTCACTGAATTGCCTGTCTTTGCCCTTTGTTTTCTCTTGAATGTCATAGAAACAAGCGTCAGATGGTAATGTTGGAGCATCAACTGGGTCACAGCCATCAAGTCAATCCTCTACCATATCCTCGAGACAACTCCAGTCAGCGGGGAATGCTCGTTGTCGTCTCCCGCCAAAAGGACGCGGAAGAGGCCGAGCACAGCCTCCAAACATGGCTGGAGTTGGAAAAGTTGGAGCATCAACAGGGCCACATACTACCTCATATGGACGAATAACGTTGACTCCCACTGAACAACCTGAATCCAAGAAGAAGATGAGGGATAGTGATAGTGATTCGTTGCTGACTGCGGCGTTTCCATCGAGTAAGTCGCCGTCCCTCCATGCACGAAAGAAGCCTGAATCCAAACGCTTTGCAGGGCTTCAGGGTGCGCTACTCGGCCTTGTAACTGAGGTACACGCCAAGAACGAAACCTTGAAAAAGGATCAGTCCACACTGTTTTCTGGACATGTGCAAGTGGTGAGTACGCCGAACAAGACTCCCAACGAACATCCGGGGCCAAATCAAAGGTGAAGTACAGATGTGTCCGGCCAGCCTGAATCGGTATAATACGCTAAGCAGTGATGTTATAATTTCTCGCCGGCCGAGCGGAGCGAGTGAGGCTAGAAATGATTTCTCGCGCAGCAAAATTATTTTTTTTGCGAATTTGGAATCTGATGTTTTCTCTTTTTGTTGCTGTTCTTTTTGCCTGACTCCTTCAGTCAGTGTTTTGTGTCTCACCAGTGTCTCCACCCTTCCACCCTTCATGTCTGCCCATCTTCTTCCATTCATTTATTGGCTGTAGATATGTTGTGCCTAATTTTATGCTGCCATGTTGCCACTTGGGGTTATGCACCCGGTTTTTTCCCTCATTCGTACGTCCGTCGGCGCGAGGGTTTTTTCCCGGCTGGCCCGGTCCAGAGAAATTAATCTGACGGTCCCAAGTGGTGCTTGTCCTGGCTTATTTATGTTAGGTGAATGTACTCATTCTTTCCTCCTGAGGTCTCTCCACCTGTTGCTGCTCCTAGTTTTCTTCTGCATTCCGGTTCACATCTGGCTGCGGCCTACTACCCTCACTCTGTGTGCTCCTGCCGCTGTTGTCTGGGTCCATGTCGGTATGTCGGTGTATGTGGAGCGGGAAGGGATGAAAACTAGAAAAACTGGCACTGAAGGTACTGAGGACCAAGCATATATCCTTATGATAAAGAAAGGAAAGGGACAAGTGTTGGAGAAGTGTTGGAGCTAGATGTCAGGTTGCCGAATGTCTCAGTACTCCTTGTCAGTTTTGTGCCATTTTGTCGCACTCGCTAACTGTATAAGATCTGGTTACGTTGGTGGACAGTTTGTCATAACTCGTAACATTTTGTCCTTTTTCTTTCTTCATCATACAGAATATTGCAATAATAAAAGACTTCGAACAAGACATGCTTGACATCATGTGACTTGCGTTACGGAGCCCAGGATGAACGGAGCCAGCGCAGATACGTAGATCTACGACAACGGACTTGTTCTGTATAGTTCGGGTGATTCGTCGTCAAGAGCTGGACTGGAGTTGGTCTTCTCACCAACAAAAAAAAACTAGTAAATAACGTGGATCTGTCGGGGAAGTGAACTGCCTGAAAAGATAACCAATCGTCAGACCCACCAGGACTTGAACCTGGGAAGTTGCTTTTCAAGATCATGCTCTAATCACCGAGCTATGGGACCGGGCTGAACCTAGAAGGCGCTGAAACGTGGGGCTGGCGATTTGTTTCTTTTTCTTCAGGCGGTTCACTTCCCCGACTTACCATAAAGTAAACTGCACTATTTCCCACCTAACTTTAGATGAGGCCTCCTGGTGCCAGTATACAAACGAGAAAGGCCTATGGCTCAGCTGTACCGAAACGGTACAGACCAGTCATGCTCTTATCAGTTGTTCGCAAGTTGCTGACACGCAACATCATCATTCGTTCACAACAATCGACCACCTCTTTTGTACGTCAAAGCCATCAGGCTTTACACTGGGACGTCCCACAGCTGACGGAGTATTGTATACCCGTGTCATGTGCGAACGTTCACTACTCGGTGACTTGAAATACTCTGCGGCACCAATAGACTCCAGAGGAGCATTTGACAATATTGTCTGTGAGAAGGCATTGGCACGGTTGTCAGACCGTGGGGCTGGCACCGATGTCTTTACCACTCTCATCTCGGATACGATGGTCAGAGTGAAGCTCAGTTCAGCTTCCCATTCAGGCAAAGGTCTTGATACGGACATCGGAGTATTGCAGGGGATACGCTCTCTTCCAGCATGTATAATATGCATGCTGAGGGATCCATGCGCCATATTGTTCCTATGCTATCGCACGCAAACACAAAACACAGTCAGCACAGCTAGCGAATGATCACGAGAATATTCACACCGATGTTAATTGGGACTTAAAGCACTTCAACAAATAGTCCACAAAGTCAAGTAAGCCAATTTAGTAACCGAATGTTTTTGTTCCCTTCTCATTATGGCCAGGGCGTCACACACCGTACGACCACTGCGACCATGGTCATACCACTTCACGTCCAGGATGGTCCACCCAATTCATCCCAAAAAGCAATAAAAAAATTCAAGGATCTTCGGACTTCGGACAAAATATCACAGCTTTCATTGCAAATAGAATATTTGGTTCAGACTTGATGCCTAGCAGCTAGATATTGCCCAATACTCCAGGCGGCTATCAATTGCATTAGGCGGATGGAGCTACGGGTAGAGACAACCAGGCGATGGCTTCCTCACGGACGCATTCACTGCAAACTTGGCGGAAACAGCTCAGGCTTGTTGTTGTTGTGAAACATCTATTACCACCTCGAGACATGTCCAGTCTGAGGGAAACGCTCGTCGTCATCTTCCGTCAAAAAGACGCGAAAGGGTCCGAGTAGAATCTTCGGGAAAGGCCGTTGTTGCTAATAATAATAATAATAATAATACAGCACGCATATAGCTCATAATTATGAAAAATCATATGAGGGTCATGCATCTGTCGACAACGTCGAGCCAGTGCGTTCTATCTGAGGCAAGTTGCTCCGCTTCCAAAAGAGACATATTGAGAAGTAAAAGGTCATTCCTAATGTTGTCTACCCAACTGGTCACTGGGCGACCTCTGGGCTTCTTTATATCTGTTATATTCATTGCCATGTGAAGGGCTTTGTAGGGCACAGCGTCCTTCCCTTCACGAATGACATGTCCAAACCATAATAAGCGCCGGCGTCTACAGACTGCACTTATTGAGCATTGAGCAGTTTTAGCATAAAGAGCATTATTCGAAGTTTTATTGGGAAAGATGATTCCAAGTATGTATCTGAGTTTACGGCGGTGCCATACATCAATTTTGCTTTCTAAGGCTTTTGTTAGAGTCCATAGGCCGCAGTTATATAGGAGAACTGGCTAAATGAGACAGTTGAACATGCTTAAATTAAGGGGGCAGCCTACCCATAAATTTCATATGGCATTCAATTGACCGTAACTCTGGTGTTTCTCAATGGATTTGAGTGGCATTTTGACCACACACTCCTGCCACTATGCTGGCCCTCAGGACATGATTTACAAGTTCTTGCGCCTCACTGACAGGCTTTCCAGGCCGGAAAAACTCAAATTTCCGCCATAGTGCCACGGTGTGCGAGCCCACCAGGAGCCAAACAAATGCATTTACAATTTTTTTCACATTTTCGTGCTCATTCTGTTCGTGCGCGGGACTCAAACCTAGAACAAGTCCAGAAGCAGCCATGGGTGATGGGGTAGGGCCCCTCAACGAGGCCCTGGAATCTGTCACAACGGAACGAGTGGGCGTTCTCTCACACACTCCCAAAGACCCAAGTAGATTTTTGAATTTTTTTAGGTTTAGCACGTGCTACGAGGTCGTACCTTTGATACAACATCCAGTGCTGGGACCTCCACAGCAAGCCATTTCCACAGCGCTGTACACCAAATCCAGGATACCCTCAGAAACCGGCAAAGACTACCACTGACGTTTCACTACTGCCTAGTACTGAATCCTACCTGACTTCTTGACACGACTCAAACTTGCCAAAGTCACTAAATCAACGTCAACTACAATAATCAAGCCACAAATCTGCAACGTCACGAGGGTGCTGGCAAAAGTACTGCTGCACGGCGGCGGGCTTCGCCCGCCACCGTGCAGCCCAATACGTGGCTCAAAAACCTGATTTTTTGGACTTGGAGCTAAATTCTGCACACTTTCACGTGTTTCCATGATACGACAAGTTGCGCACGGTCTGCTCACATTCAAATACAGTGCTGCCAACAAATGACAGCGTGCAACAAAAAATCTTTCCTTGCAAGGGCACATTTTCGGCCATAACTCTTGAACGGCCGGTCAGATCGGGACAAAATTTTCAGAGAATTTGCAGCTATTCATGCTTTTTCAACTGACGTTGCACTCAATATGAATTTACAAATTCGATTTTTCAGCGAATTTTTGGGTAGTCTGCCACCTTAAATGCTGACGGTGTGGAATAGCAACAGTGCGAAATCGGGCAGGGTGGTTAATGGCCCACACTGGAGCCGAGTAGGAGCGCCAGTGGTTGAGGGCTAGCACAGGAGTAGCAGCAGCTCCAGCCTAGGAAGATCAGCTTCTGGATGAAAATCTCCCGGACACAGTAGGTACCAAGCTTCACTAGCAGATTGCCGGCAGGGGTGCACGGCGAGCACCCATACATCCCTCAAGCCACCAGAGCCGCAGTACTTGGACACGATCCAGGTGCTTACCCGCCAACAATGCTGAGAAGGTACTGGAGCCATACAGGAACTTATGATCGAGCATGACCACAGACTTGAAATACAGGGTCCGGCGTTGAATACTGGGACAGCGACGTCTCCTCCACAGAACACCACTCAGCCCCACCATTGCATTATTTTCGCTTTTTCATGATTTTTACAATTGTGTTAGAGCACACAGCACTCGATGCAACATTTATCAGTGACTAAATAACTCCGCGTCTCCGACCATAACTGCAGCGTTCCCGTGAGCCTGTTGGATTTCCGTCAGCCTGTTGAGATTATCTTCATCTCGTCACATGTGAGCCTGTGTGTTTCATCCGTATCGTGGCACAATTACACAGACACGATTTCCAACTCAGGCCGGTTCCGTTGCTCGAAGGGTTGGCGGTAAGAATTGCTTCGCCGTCTGTGGCTGCATGGGAACTTGGCGAGTCGTCGTCTTTCTCCATAAATCCTGATCGTCACGCGAACAACAGCCACTATTGCCTAAAAACTACGACACAACAGTATCAAGCTCGCCCCATGCCCAGCAGAAGGACACGAATGACGAGCGCTAAGACGGAGAAAGAGAGACAGGGTTAGCGAGAGCTGACTAGTGCAGCTAGGTACGCTGTCATCTCCTGAGGTGGTGGGCGAAGCAGCGAAGTGAAACGAAGGAAGATAGAACTTATTAGAAGGCATACGGAGGCACCAAAACCTATTGCCTGTCACATACTAAGTGCCATTTAGGGTTGACAGCTGTCAGCTGACAGCCTCAAAAATTTGAAAATCTGCTCAAAAAACTCTCGATCAGAACTCTGCGCACTCTCAAATGGAGCGCACAGTAAAAACTCGGCGACGAAGAACGCTTCGTATCGACGCCCTGGACTGAATTCGGCACGTCCAACACAAACGGAATAGTGTTCTCTGATATATTCTCTACGTGCTGGGTATGGTCGCGTTTAGTTGGAAGCTCAGTGCATCACCACTTTCGATTTTGAGACTTGGCCGATGGACTACAGGGATCACACTGTACAACAGTACACAGTCAGGTCAGGTCACCGTTTTTCTGTAGCCGTGCATGCTCACTGTACGTAGACTCTACTCTAGCTCTGACTGTAGACTGTACAGTGTACTGTAGTCTGTAGTGTGTACAATCAACACCAGCTCGAGCACCGCACCGTGCAACCGCTTTTGCACAATCGTCTCAGGCCGCGCGCGCCCCGAGCTAGTCTAGCTCGACCTGGCGCGCGCCCTGTATTATTTTTCGAAACCTAGGTCGAAATTTTTGAGGGGGGGGGGGGGGCGCGCGCCCCCCGCGCCCCCCCCCCCCCTAAACCCGCCACTGTGCACGCACATGTCGTCACTCTAGCACGACTTGTGTTATTATTGTTTATTTTGATTCGCACGATAAATAGAGCACAATAAACGTTAACTTGACCGAAGGTTAAAGGCGACTGCAGATAGAGGAACACATCGAGGTACAGGTACCGGCATCAATACAGTATCAGAGAGAAACAAACAAAAATGAGAGGTACGCAGAAAAAACTCTCGTAAGCCCAAGGGGAAGTGGTTGATGAGGGATGAATGCACTCTCCACGCTCATCTACACTGTTCGTGGAAATGCACACATACATACAATAATATACAACATAGCAATAGCATGCACAGAACCGAACAATTTCATGTTCACACATGCAAGCACAGACCTGAACATTAGTACCAAAAGCCAATACAGACAATATTCCCATACACACAGACGCACACACACGCACACACACACACACACACACACACACACACACACACACATACACACACAATGTCCCATGTATGCGCCCGTGGCGAGAAAAGCACGCAAATCTACAAATGCACTGGATGTGAACCCACAGATTTTCTCTTATAGCAACGATAGCGGATCTGATTCTGAATGAAACACACACACACACACACACACACACACACACACACACACAATACAATCATTGAATGCCCATCCGCAGATGATGGCAGGTCCTGAAAGAACAGGCAGTGTTCCAGTGATGGGGAACAGAACTTCGAGTGGCGAGTGAGGTATACACACACACACGTGCGTGCGCAGGCACACACTAAAGCATTCAGAAATAGAATCGACATTGAAGTATTCATTGGTTGGGGAATGGAAAGGAAAATAAAACATTGCTGTAGGTTACTGTTGTAAGGACAATGGGAGCACAACAGAAAGGTAAGCAACTTGCTTTGAAGCAAAGAAAGTTATTATTCCACGGATCTCAGAAGGAAGGAACGTTCCAGAATGCTGCACTGGCAACAGGCGGCCTGCATGTGAGCGGCCCCTGCAGTCGGTCCAGCTGCCGGCCTTGCAGTGCTGAAAAGAATGTGCAGTACAGCATGTCACATAGTATCGCAGCCTGGACAAATAGGCGCTGGGAAGTCCTAGTTATGTGCTCACCTACACCACGATGCACCAATCTTCTGAGCTACTTTGGCAACAACTTTGTCAACTTGAGACTCCCATGGGCTGAGGCAGTTGTTGAGGGCTGCACCAAGGTGGACGGCAATGACCGCTGATGGCAAGGCAATCCATGACACACAGTCACTTGGGCATCCTCAACATGGCGCTGAGGCTGGATCGATAAAATCAACCTTTAGGCCGCCGCGGGGTTGACAACGAGGCCGCTGTCTCGAAGCTAGTCAGTCAGCCTGGTCACCGCCATTGACGAACCAGTCGCCACCGCCAGCAGCGGCGGTAGGTTGTGACAAGTGTGGTGCAATATTGTCAGCAAATTCAGTACTCAGGATAAGATGAGTGACAAAGGGAAAGTTGTGTTTGATAATATTGAAGTGAACAGGGATGATCACAAACCCTGCGCGTACTCCACCGTGAGTTACAAGAAAATTCCGGACTCGACGACGAGCATACACCAACCTGCTACATCCAACCAGGCAGATACTATTACGATAGCTGCCAAACCAGGTCAATGCCGACCTACTGCATAATGTCAATGTCAAACAGATCCTGCAGGAGAAGACTGGGGTGTTGGCGTCCAGTCACTGAGTGTACAGACACCAGTCACATTTCCTGTATCTTTTGCAGCATACAGGCTGAGACTCATCACTGTAGAGTCCACTACTGCATGAGTTTTATTTGTACAATACATGGCAGGCGTGCACGGTGTGCCTCGCAGGACTGCGAGATGCTGCAGAAGACCAGGTTCTACCTTTCTGGACCGCCATTCACCGACGGTGGGCTACACGATGCTGGAGGAACTAGATTCCAGTGAAAACCCAAGATTCCTTTGCTCCTGGACGCTCCGACGTGTTGTGATATCTGCCAGGTGCGCAGTAACTAGTATTTTCATCGCTACAGCGAGGACGACGCCGATCGGCAAACTCTCGCTCACAGCCATCACCAGCCTCTCAAAACCATCACTTGGCATCCCCCAGAGGTACAGGAGAAAGCCAAAACAGCTCACAACAAACAAAAGCTAAGGACGATGGAAAGAGAGCATGTCAAAAAGAAGACGAACAGTATGAAGTTCAAATCGTTTTGAACACTCATAGTCATACCACCAACTATACCACTTTCAATAAATCGTGACGCCATTTTGTTTTAACATGAATATCGCGGATTGTATGTGTGAAAAAAACGCAAAAAAACGAGAAACAAAACCAAAAAACCAAAACCAAAAAAAAACAGGAAAATACAATTACAAGGGCACTGTCCTCAGTGTCCTGCCCACCATCGTCTCCAAAACCTCACAGCCGGCCCTCCGAGCTTGCCAACTCTCGCAATGCATTCACAGGACGGTGGTGATATGACGACCGGGCACCACGGATACACATGATCGCCGCCCGCAACAATGCAAACGCCAGTCGACACCGGACATATGTCATTGTCTCGGCGTACAACTTCGTGTCCCCACTCGAAATGAGGCCACACAGGCGCTTGACAAATCTGGAGCACTCTGGCGCACAACAACCGGCCGTGGTGAAAACTAGTGGAGTAAATGTCCCACGGTCCACATTGATGATGCGCTCAGCATACTGCAGCTTCTTCTTCCTCTCATGCTCAGCCAACAGTTTGGGTAGTAACGAATATTAAGCTGAATAAAGACAGATTGAAGTATTTGAAGAGTCCATTCAGAAAAGTTATTTCGTTGTCCATCACCACTTTACATTTCAATAAAACCTTCGTAACATGTCGCTTCAGGTGATTCTGTTCATTGCCATCTTAAAATTGTTGTCACCGCACCGCCTGTTCAAATCTTGCTATATTCAGAAATTCATAATTGTCCACTTGGTTCCCATCAACCGCTGACATGTTTTATCTAGCTGCAAAATCTGTATGCTCAAACATATGTAAAACAAGTAAGCGTTGCATGCCCTCGTGCACGATCAGTTGGACCTGAGGAGTTAATTTTATTGTATTACAATTTCTTAGGTACGTGCTTGCATCATCGCCATCAGTCGCTATGTTTCCTCACAGATGCATTAGATGAAAGAGATTGTGATTAACCCTCATTCCGGGTTGTGGGGTCCGAACGGACCCCAGGGTATGATTTTTGAAATATTTATACTTTGCTGCATCATATCTCCCTGAAACTGCATGTATTCCTCAACAACACAATAACTGAGATAAATAAATTGTCTGGGTTAGAGGTTCATGATGGATTTCACTTTTATTACGGAAAATGCGGGTGGGGTCCAAATGGACCCCAGTGATATAAAACACAGGGAAGTGCAACAATTGCGATAGTTTTGGTATTTTTCTACATGGTCACCGAATACAAGGATGGTACCCACTGAAGTATGAGGCTCTACAAGAAAATATTCGTCGATAGCCATAATCCCTCATTCCATGTTGACTTTTTTCCTACGTTCCCAGTATATTGGGGTCCTTTTGGACCCCAGGAACGTTTTGTGTGGTATTCTTGCAAGCTTGCAAAATAATCCCGACAAACTTCAGAGCTGTCAACAAATGCAGTGTGGTCAAAGCATTGGCCTATGGGAAGGTAACACAGCAAAAAAATACATAAAATGGAGAGTTTGCAAGAATACCACCCAAAACGTTCCTGGGGTCCAAAAGAACCCCAATGTACTGGGAACGTAGGAAAAAGTCAACATGGAATGAGCTAGGGTTAACCATTCCTACCTTCTACCTTCCTTGTGTGCAACGATAATGCTACAAACTGTTTTTTCGAGCGCTTGATACCACTCTAAGCGGGTACTAAAATGCAATAGTAAAAGCACGCAGGATTCTCATATTCAGCACTCAAAATGTATTCAATACACACGGTGAAAGCTGGCACTACATTGCACTACATGAACCGGTGTGTATCCTTCATACAGAGACACCCGCAGGTTAGAGCTAAGTTCTCATTCATCTCTATGCAGTAGAGCCTGGTGATAGAACAAAATACATTAACAGCATGAAGCAAATCAGGCACACCGATAAAGAAATCCCGTACTCTGATGAACCAATACGAAATGCAGAAAAACGTGTTCTTTTGTCATTGCACATAGTAGTCTGTTCGAGAATAAAACAATTCGGAACGACGCTTCACACAGCAGTGTTCCCCGAATGTTGGACAGTGTTTCCATAAGAGTAGTGCATTAAAAATTTGAATGCCAAAAAAAAAAAAAAAAAAAAAAAAAAAAAATGATATCTACGTATAAAATACATGTACTGATGTAGCTACAACAAAAATACAGACAATATCCTGAAACAGTTAGCTCAGGTTAAACAGCCAGGTGAGCACCTCCACCACAAACAAGCCAGAAATAACATTAGTATTGCTGAGGAGTGCATTTAAAACTGCTCCTGATTGGTGTTTAATTCGGCGGGGGCGTCGCATAGGAAAATTTATACATGTATCCGGAATTCGCCTTGCTTGCTTGCTCCTTCGAGCGGATGATGACGGGATAGCCATCGGTATCCTTTGTGGAACTGACGCAGACCACGGTCTCTTCGTAGGATAGACACTCCAGCGTATCACCATCGCTAATGTAAAACAATCCTGGCTTGCGTAGTGCCTTGGCTGGCGTTATGTTGGTCGCTGGATTTATCATTTCAATATCCCATGTCCATAGGTCGTCTTTGGTGGGCACAGTGGTGTTCGCCATGAAGATAGGCTCCTGATGATATTCGCCGCAATCTCTTTTCATGGCAGCCTGGAAGACAATATGAGTCTCGTCATTTGCAGAGTTAGTTGACACGCTGAACACTGCATCAATCGGGGGCGTCACTGAGGGAAGAGAAATAGGAAAAAAGATGGAATTGGCATCATACCATGTTCGTAAGTACTCACTTTCTTTTAGAACCAAAATGCCTACTTCAGTGGTCCCAGAATACATGGGACGCTTTGTTATGTCCCCTTGCTTGTAGGTGGGAACGAAACCCACGGGGTGCTCATGAAGGCAATCTGGGACGTTTCCTTGTCACAAGAACTCACTCAATGCTCCCCACGACTAAAGCAGACAGGCATTGTGGCATGTGGCTACATGTATGTGGTTGGGGAGACCCACCCGACCCGAGTTCTCGGAATTATAGCATACGAGCTCTATGACCCGGTCACCGTGATTGAGAAACAGGGGGGGGGGGGTAACAGGTTCAAGTCCTGCTTGGAAGCGGAAGGATTGTTTATCCGTGCTACGACCCACAGTAATTTGGGAACACGTGACCTGGCACGAGGGGGCACAGATGCAGCCAATGGCATTTTCTGTCATTGACCACTAAGGCGGGCATTATCTACTCAAGTCCCATCGCTTTAGGAGCTGAACCTGCTCCTTGATCATTGGGATGGCAGCGTTCCCATGGACGCGGACAATCGGCTGGAGGCCTAATGTCACGCGAACCTTGATTATATTTTAATTTTTTATAGTAGAATAACTATGGCAAAGGATTTACTTCCCACACTGGAGGTCGCGCGTTTCTGTTTTTTTTGTTTTGTTTTTTTATACGAGAGTCCACTATTTTCCCGAATATGTGCAAGAAGTGGTGGCGGGGCCAAGCTGCTCTGCCGACCTCAAAGATCTCGGCGTCTACGCAGACGAAGCGCGCCATAATGCAGTAAACCATGAGGAGGGGAGGAAGAGGGGAAATGAATAATAGTGAGAAAGGAGGACAATGTCAATGGGTAGATGGTCGTGAGAGAAGCAGATTGAAAGATAACGTCACATTGTGGTAAAGGGGAGAGGATGCTAGTGAGGCACTGATCTAAACCGTTTCATAGGGCGTCGGTGGCTGCTTGCCAGTTCAGGTGCAGCAGATACTTGTTGCATTCTCTGTAGACTTGATTTGACACTTGAGTGACTCACGACAGCCACCCAGATTTGTTTTGTTTTAAGTTCTATTTTTAATACATCGCAAACCAAACGGGCATTGATGCCCAATATCATGATGGCGATAGAATAAAAAGTGTGGCTCGATAAAGCTGCACTTGAGAGAATGAGAAAACAGTCAATAGGAAGTATATGGACCGGTAATTACAAGTCAAGTTCGAACGAATTAACAATCAGAGAGAAATAGGAAGAAGAGGATCTATGCCAGAGGGAGGTACTATTTGGCCATATTAACCGTAGAAAAACACTTTCAGCAATCTTTTATACGGGGTTGGACGACGAGTGGACGTGTGTTCCTGTGGCAAGGTGTTCCAAAGCTTCACGGCGAAACCAATGGTCGGCTGTCGCCAGATGTTCGCCGAGTTAGCGGAACAACATAATTATTTGAGCCCCAGGCTGAGAAAAGGGTGCTATTGGCAGTTTTGGTCAAATTGAGTTAGATAGCACACCTAAAACTCAAATTCTCACTGATTCATGTGCAGAAAACCGTGTTGAAAAATCTCGAAGACAAGTATCACAAAGTTACGGCCACAGATGTGAAGGCAACTTTACGGAGCGAAGGTCCGTACCCTGCTTTCAAGTGCCCTTTTCTCAGTTGTGCGCATGAGGCCAATAGCACCCTTTTCTCAGCCTGAGGCTCATTTGCAATTGTCATTGCCACGGGTTTTACTGGGAGGTTGAGGGCTACTCTATCTTTCAGAGGAGGGCTGATGCTGCTGGTGTGGACACGGTGCATAAGGAAACGGAGTTTGCATTTGGCAAGTTCAATTACAGGGGTCAGGGAAAGGCGAGTGTATATAGGAGTGGTATGGGACGGGAAGGGCAGATTGGCTACGCAGCGAACACATCGCTAGTCTAGGACAGTGAGCTGGTGCCGCTGCCGAGCCGTGAGTGCAGAGAAGAACGCGTTTGATCCATAAAGCATGTCAGGAAGTATAAGGGCAGAATAGAAGAGGAGCGACTGGCGTTCAGATGAGATAGCGACGGGCAGATGGTTCTCAGGGTGGTAAGCTTCTGGGAACTTTTACGTACTATGCTGGAGACCTGCGCGTCCCACCGAAGACAGGAATCGATCTGTAGGCCCAGAAAGCGAGCAGTGGTGGTCTGGGTGAGAGGCGTCCCGTTGCAGTTAACGTTGAGTTCCAGGGTACTACGGCGTGATGCCTCAATGGCTAAGACCTGCGTCTTGTCGGGGTTTAAAACCAGGCCTTTCCCGTGTAGGTAGTCAGCCAAGTTTGACACAGCAACTGATAACACTTGATTTAGGGTTGCTACGGATCTGCTTGCGGTGTCGAGAAGGATGTCATCCGCAAACAGCTGGGAGTGTGCTGGGCTGGTGACGCTATGGACATCCATGGTACAGTATAAATAGTGAAAACAGCAAAGGACCCAGTACACTACCCTGAGGGATTCCACACTCGCATGCAGTTAGGCCCGAGCACTGCCCACTCGCCAGAACTACTCTCTGTCGACGATCCGTGAAGTAGCTCGCAAACCAACGCAATGCAGTCGAAGATACACCCAAAGCAAACAAATCTTGGATCATGAGCTGGTGCCGTACTTTATCGAGTGCCTTGCTCATGTCCACTAGTACTGCGCCAGTATGTAGGTGGTGGTCTGCGGACGAAAGATAGCGGTCCATGGCCAAGGTCATGGCATCTTCCGTGGAGTGTAGTAGCCGGTAGATCAAACAAGATTCCATTGAACCGTCATCCTGCTCAGTACACAGTTTTTTTTCGGGGAATTAACCCCTCGTCAGTTTGAGCTTGAGTAGGCTAAGGAAGATTATACCTGAAGAGCATCATTAATTTATAATAATTATAGTGCCCCCCCCCCCCAGGTCCAGACATCACCAAGGATACAAACCTTCAGAAACTCTCCGTTTCCAGAGCGACAAACACCTTGTGAACAGCAGATAGCAGAGTGAGTCACTGTCGCTCCTGGATGGTGACTGGAGAGAACAGACGTTGAGGCACTCCGTCATTTGCAACGCAGTCACGTCCAAACCAATTATTACTGAGTTAGTCGCAATGCCATGCTTCGAACAACAGGTATAATTGTAGCGACTTCGGTAATAGTTTTGTAGCAACGCATGTACCCACACTAATTAGGATCGCCTTTTTAGTATAACAAACTAGAGCGACACTGACTCACGCTGCTATCTGGTGTTCACAAGGTGTTTTGTCGCGCTGGAAACGGACTGTCTCTGTAAGTTTGTATCCCTGGTGATGTTTGTGCCTGCAGAGCAATATATAAGCGGTGCTCTTCAGGTACAATCTTCTTCCGCCAACTCAAGCTCAACAGATGAGGGGTGAGTTCCCCGAAACATTGTGTATTGAGCATTGAGTGGTGCTTTCTTGCAGGTAAGCCGAGTGGACGACTCGATGGACTTCACATGTGCTCAGGATGGCAGTCGTGAGTAAGGTGAGAAGTGAGAATTCAAGTCGGCAGGAATAGCGCAAGCTCAAACGTGAGGAGCAACACACAATTCCCTCAGTATCGCTGAAGTCGCACCAACCTCTTCATAAAAAACTAGAGTTAAAATTTTCATCTGCCATATTTATACCTTAGACTCTACATGTATTAGGGGCGTTTGTCTCATTCCATTGCTATCACTAGAATACCACGAATTTCTCCCCACTGTTGAAGTCTTAATGACACACTGGTATTCGTACTTCAAAGTAGCATGGTAGCATGTTTACGGGTCATGTGAAGCGCTAGCAACGGTTTGAACTCATTGTACTGGGAAAACCCGAGCTTCCTTTTGGTCACGAGCCCTGTTTTGCCATGGAGCTGATAAAGAAATACAACATGATCTAAACGGAAAGCAATCGATTTTGCACCTTTGCTTCTGGGGATTTCATGCTGGGCCGTTGTTGAGCGTTTGCCCTCAGTGTACATAATCTCCAATGACTGGCTAAAACAAGCTCAATATTGCAACCCGCCAGGACGTTGAGTAAATATTAACTTAATTTCACCTGCGTAGGCCTTGGCGTAGAGCTTGTACACTTCACCCACCTTGGTTCCTGGAAACATAGTGCATGTAAAAATATATCAGAAACAATTATATCAGATGTATTATATACATAATAGTACTTTCCCATGACTTCACATACTGTAGTGCAGCCATTTACACCACACCTTAGTGCATCGATGGGGCTTAATTGATTTTTGATACAGTCATGTAGCTTCAAACGATATTTGACCATGTTCCATTCTCAGGTTGACCATCCCATGATAGGTTATTGAATATCTATAATCGACGACGACTGCAGCATCGTGCCGGAATTCATAGAAGCCTATTGTTTTGGAGAATCAGCTTCCGTCATTGTGAATGCAAAACGTATTCAACCTAGGCTACACTTCATAAGATCGACGTATTATGAACGTTTGGTCCCATGCTGTTCCCATTGACTTACGTGTTACGTATAGTGTAGTGTTCTTCTCCTTGGTCACCAGCTCTGTCGTCAGATACCTGTACACTGGCTTCTTCACAATGCCACAGGAGCCGGGACCACACGAGCGGTGGCATTGGTGGGCGTCTGCCATTCTAATCGAACTAACCACTTCACAGGTCTGAATCCGTCGGCGTCTTAATACAGCTACCTCATTCAAATCAAACAAGCGTGGCTCTGAGTCGGTATTGACAAGCACAGTGTGCTATAAAGAACAGATCTCCTTGGGATACAGAGTTGGGCGTGGCGCAAACATCAGAATCGTGCTGGATTCGCTGAAATGAATTCAGTGCAATGCAGGCTGGCTGGGTTAGAAACTATAAGATTCCAAGCTAGGACTGCTAGCCAAGTAAGTAATTAGTTGTAGATCGGCACAGTGCCAGTATTGAGTGGTGGCATTTTCGACAGCTGACAGAATGTTCGTGCAGCATTATATCACGTGATGGCTTTGCCCTGGATTGTCAGCAGAAATCGATGTCGCGTGCATCACTGCTGTGAAGGGAACCCAAACGTGCGGACGACCTGCTGATCATCTTAACCTTTGCCACAGGTGCAGGTGAATTCCGAAGAAATTTAGCGAAGACTTTCCCCTGCATTTGCCTCCTGTTGTCATATTCTCCCGCCGTCCTGACCCTTGAGTCCGAATCATGCATGACGGATTTGATCTGCTACATGAAACAGTCGACCATCCACAGATTGATCAGACACGTGATGGATGTCGTAAAGCTGCCAATGAACTTGGAAGGTCTGCACAAACATTGCCGACAAGTCTAGGTGTACAAGCATTTGAAAAGAATTGTGACCCACCGCGTCAAGCATTGCATACTGGTTCAGTTCATCGTTCGCCCGCCGCCTTGCAGCAGGACTTTTGCCAGCACCCTCGTGACGTTGCAGATATGTGGCTTGATTATTGTAGTTGACGTTGATTTAGTGACTTTGGCAAGTTTGAGTCGTGTCAAGAAGTCAGGTAGGATTCAGTACTAGGCAGTAGTGGAACGTGAGTGGTAGTCTTTGCCGATTCTTGAGGGTATCCTGGATTCGGTTTGCAGCGCTGTGGAAATGGCTTGCTGTGGACGTCCCAGCACTGGATGTTGTATCAAAGGGACGACCTCGTAGCACGCCCTAAACCTAAAAGAATTCAAAAATTGACTTGGGCCTGTGGGAGTCTGTGAGACAACGCCCACTCGTGCCCCTGTGACAGATTCCAGGGCCACGTTTAGGGGCCCTATCCCACCACCCATGGCTGCTTCTGGACTTATTTTAGGTTTGGATCCCGCGCACGGACAGAATGGGCAAGAAAAATGTGAAAAAAATTGTAAATGCATTAATTTGGCTCCTGGGTGACTCGCACACCGTGGCACTATGCCGGAAATTTGAGTTTTTCCGGCCTGGAAAGCCTGTCAGTGAGGCGCAAGAACTTTTAAATCATGTCCAGAGGGCCAGCATAGTGGCATGAGTGTGTGGTGAAAATTTCACTCAAATCCACTGAGAGACACCAAAGTTACGGTCAATTGAATGCCATATGAAATTTACGACCAGGCTGCTACCTTACTACCCAAAAATTCGCTGAAAAATCGAATCTGTAAATTCATATTGAGCGCTACGTCAGTTGAAAGAGCATGCATAGCTGCAACTTCTCTGAAAATTGTGTCCCTATCTGACCAGCCGTTCAAGAGTTATGGCCGAAAATGTGCCCTTGCAAGGAAAGATTGTTTTGTTGCATGTTGTCATTTGTTGGCAGCACTGTATTTGAATGTGAGCAGACCGTGCGCAACTTGTCGTATTATGGAAACACGCGAAAGTGTGCAGAATTTTGCCCCAAGTCCAAAAAAGTCCAAAAAATCACGTTAAAAACCACGTATTGGGCTGCACGGCGGCGGGCGAAGCCCGCCGCCGTGCAGCAGGACTTTTGCCAGCACCCTCGTGACGTTGCAGATATGTGGCTTGATTATTGTAGTTGACGTTGATTTAGTTGACTTTGGCAAGTTTGAGTCGTGTCAAGAAGTCAGGTAGGATTCAGTACTAGGCAGTAGTGAAACGTGAGTGGCAGTCTTTGCCGGTTTCTGAGGGCATCCTGGATTTGGTGTGCAGCGCTGTGGAAATGGCTTGCTGTGGAGGTCCCAGCACTGGATGTTGTATCAAAGGTACGACCTCGTAGCACGTGCTAAACCTAAAAAAATTCAAAAATTGACTTGGGTCTGTGGGAGTCCGTGAGAGAACGCCCACTCCTTCCGTTGTGACAGATTCCAGGGCCACGTTGAGGGGCCCTACCCCATCACCCATGGCTGCTTCTGGACTTGTTCTAGATTTGAGTCCCGCGCACGAACAGAATGAGCACGAAAATGTGAAATAATTGTAAATGCATTTGTTTGGCTCGTGGGTGGCTCGCACACCGTGGCACTATGCCGGAAATTTGAGTTTTTCCGGCCTGGTAAGCCTGTCAGTGAGGCGCAAGAACTTGTAAATCATGTCCTGAGGGCCAGCATAGTGGCAGGAGTGTGTGGTGAAAATTTCACTCAAATCCATTGAGAGACACCAAAGTTGCGTTCAATTGAATGCCATATGAAATTTACGACCAGGCTGCTACTTATAAAAAAGTTCTTGCGCCTCACTGACAGTCTTTCCAGGCCGGAAAATCTCAAAATTCCAGCATAGTGCCACGTTGTGCGAGTAAGCCTGGGCGGATAATGCTAGTTATTTTGCGGTATAATGGCAATGTCAGAAACACTGTATCATATTGCTACTTATATAGCTGCTACGGTTCCTCTGTAATGCCAGCAATTCAGCAGTAGTAAGTATGGAAAAATGGCTTGGTTTGGGCAGTATTGTGCACGTTTCATAGTTCTATGTAGACGGCATGGAAATTGTTAGAAAATCATGATCATACTGCTAATTTTATGCTGCTATTGGCGAGTAGATTCTGATCTACCCCCACCCCACCCCACCCCCTCCAAACCAAAGTGGTCAAGGACCAAAATTCCCATCAGTCTTTGCATCAATGTTTCCCTTGTGCCAGGCTACGAGTTTCCAACTAACTTTGGGTCTGAAGACAGCTGGAAAATGCTAGCACTTCCAACAGATAACAGTAGTACCTGGTCCAACCCGAATAAGAAGCGACAAATTATGAATGAAGAGAAGAAGATGAGTAGAAATAGGCGCACAATTTTAAATGTGCTTGGTTGATGCTCAGTTGGTGAAAAGGAGGTGTGCGTGTGGTGATGGTGGTTGAGGTTGGTGGTGGGGGAGGGGTGCAGGGTAATGTACCAACGTTACATCAAAAGAAAATGTTGAAAAGAATGAATTCGTATTTTCCATGATGTTTTGATAAGATAAAATAGCTCATATAAATTGGAAACTAGGGTATTGAGCCCATAATAAAGGTAGAAAGGAAAAACGACATATGGAAACGAGTTAAGAGTAACTCTCCACCACTGTAACTAGATACTACAGTCAGAAAGTGCAACAACTGGGCACAAAACTGACCGAGTACTGAGACATTCGACGTCCTGACACTTAGCTTCAACACATCTCCGTAGCGCTAACCGACAGCCTTCCAACTCGGAAGGTTCAAGGTTACGGAGAGACCAAAGAGGGGAAGGTAAGCGCAACGAAAATGAGCATAAGCCACAGTCCCAACGGAACAAAGAATGTCGATTGTTAATGTACGTTGACGAGACCAGTAGGGTACTTGACAAAGCGGTCTAACTACAATTCGAGGCAGCAAAGCAGCACACCACCCAATTTGGGTGGCTCAGAAATATCAAAGATAAGTACAGAAGGGGGAAGCTTTGCGAAAACGAATTGTACAAGCCGAACGCCAAACTCTGTCAATTTTGTGCCTAGTTGTTGCACTCTCCGAATGTATCTAGTATCTAGTTACAGTGGTGGAGAGTTACTCTTAACTCATTTCCATAATTAAGTCCTTTTGCCTTTCATATAGATTTGTCGCTGAAACGCGTAAAGAAAGAAAACCTCGCAATGAGTAATGAAGGGAATGGATGAGAAAAGATATGAGTGATGGAGGAAAACTAAGGAGAAAGGAAAGAAAAGAGGCACAGGGGGGGGGGGGGAGAAGAAGAAAAACTGAAGTACATTGTAAGTCATCGAAAGCATGCAAGCCAGATTCCTTCTCTCAGTTTGTTATCTATAGTCTTCATGACTGTACTGCAACTTCATCCTGTACAGGAACATACATGTATAGCCATTGGAGGACTATGCTCGGCCAATCGTCAAAATTAATTATGCTTTTGATTATGCCACAATTATGCCAACAAATATGCTGAATCATGCTGGATTATGCTCGGTTCCACTATGTATTCACGCTGCACATAGAGGATTGAGAAACCACGCATACACACACGCGGCCCCAGGGATTTCTGACAAAGCTGTATTATGCCCTACAGTCCATTTCAAAACTATAGACGCGTAGGGTTTTTGAAATATTTCAAATTTGGCTGGAACTTTTTGAGAATAGTTTTCGGAATATTGCTCAGGACCGCTCCACAATTACTCTCATATAGTTTCTAAACGATTGGATAACAGACGCCCAATTGGAAAAAATTATGCACAAAGTGATCACAGATTTTATGTGGTATACATGTAGATGCTGGCATAACGGTTTTTGCCTTGGTACGCGTCTATGTTTTGAAATGGACTGTAAGCATAATTTTTGTCTAAACCGAAAGATTATGCCGACCTTACACGTTGGAATCCGTATATTATGCCGGAGGACAAAGCTGTATTATGCCCTGAGCATAATTTTTGTCTAAACCGAAAGATTATGCCGACCTTACACGTTGGAATCCGTATATTATGCCGGAGGACAAAGCTGTATTATGCCCTGAGCATAATTTTTGTCTAAACCGAAAGATTATGCCGACCTTCCACGTTGGAATCCGTATAATTATTATGCCGGAGCATAATGTTTTGACGAAATCCCAAGATTATGCCAAATATTATGCCGGCATAATCCGCCAAGAGCTATACATGTATGTTAAGCAGCAACAACACACAGAAGCGCTGACATCGTGTTTTTTTGCTGGAAAACAGTGTAATCCAGGTGTTCATCACCATACATGTACATGTACATGTCTGACTGCCCGAGTGTCATGCTCCTACAGAAACAGCAAGTCCCAATGCTTCACCATGCTTCCCAAAGCTCAATCCTCCCCTGGCAATGTCATTGAGCCTAAATGCATAGAGACGGTTTACCAACCACAATATTAATACTGATGGCACTTGGGTCTTTTTGCCTCCGTGTTGTGACCTGCATTTGGAGTTAAAAACTTGTCAGCACCTTTTAGGTTCAGCCTGGTCCCATACCACCATAGCTCAGTGATTAGAGCATTGCTCATGACAAGCAAGGTCCCGGGTTCGATTCCTGGTGGACCTTGCGATCGTTTCTCTTTTCACGTTTTCAGGCAGTTCACTTCCCCGACTAGCCCTTTCCCAAAGGTGCTCGCCCTTTTTTTCGTCCTTTTTGGCCCTTTTGGAAAAGCCCGTTTCTTTCGCCCTTTATTGCGTTTTTTGGTGAATATCTCCCTTTTTGAGCTTTTTTAGCTGAAAAAGTGCTAAAATCTGTTTGTATATCATGCTCATGCATGCGATCACAGTTTCCCAGTGCTCCATGGAAAGTAAAGTGTCATGTTTGGTGCGGCCAAGCTTGGCCGTTAATGTTCTAGGTGTAATATACTGCTGTTATTTGTTATCACTTTGTCCTTCCTTCTTTCTTTCTCTTCTTTGTTCATTTTCCAGTTGCAAGTTTAGTGTTAGTACACACATTCGTTATTGCTCTCGCTTTCATTGTTAAAATTCACACTTGTAAATTTCAATGCTGTTGTTCTTAGTGTTATTTCTCTAACTTAGATTTTCTATAATAGTTCAATTTTGTTTTCAGTGTCCTTTAGTACAACGAAGATTCCTGATTAGTGTTGTACGAAAACTTGTTTGAATCCCTTTTTTTCTCTACACAATTTCTTCACATTTTCATCGTTTTATTGCACATTGTTTCCACAGTTTTACATTACATGAATACAGTGTACAGAAATGTCGATCCAGCTTGTATTACTGATTGCGGTTATCAAATTGTTGTCTCCTCGCCGTTTGTTCAAACATGTATCTGTACTGTCACTACTGGTATTTTTTTAGAACACGGTATTGGTATTGCAATATCCAGGATATTGTATTCGGTAATAGCACTTTTTATCCACTATTGTACATGTACATGTACATGTACATGTACATGTACATGTACATGTACATGTATCCAATGTATGTTCGATCCATAGTATGCAATATCCATGGTATGTTACATGTATAGTGTACATGCACATGTAATGATGTACATGTACATGTACATGTATATCCATAGTTTGTTTTATGCAGGGTACACTACACTGTACTGGACTGGTGGGTACAGGATCTGGATTAATTTGCTCTCATTTCCCTGATTTTGCTGGTTTTCGACAATTTCGGCCGCTTTCTCTGTTTTTGCATCTTTTGCAAGTTTTGGAGTATTTTGACATATTTTGCGCATTTTGTTCTTTCTCTTTCAGAATACTAGTATAGTAGTACATATAGTAGTACATGCCGAAAGTACAGGTTATTGAGTTACCCTAAGATTACTAGCCGAGGACTCTTGCGCTGCAGCGCGCTGGTCGTATCCATGGTATCGGATCAACATGACACTGCAACAGTGCAAGCAACAAAGCAGTCATGTAGTTACTTTCTGTAGGCGCTGAGCTCATGAGGGCTCAGGCCCCGGTCATTTGACTGGATTTTCATGTCATCAGTACTACATCACGTAATTTACATGTACTGTCGCGGACATGGAAATCCAGTCGATTGACAGGGGCCGGCGCCCTCAGCGTGTACAGAATGTAAGTCGTTGCATGCATGCAGTGCACAATCATGTTGATCCTATGCGACCGGCAGCAGCAGCGCATTATAAACATGATGCTACGACTGTATGGCCAGCGCCCTGGGCCGCTAGACGTGCGACCGGATTTCCATATCCACGACAGTTGTCTTTGTTTCGCCTGTACTGGCTGTAGACCTACTGTAGTACCGGTACCTGATCAGATACAGATCAGCGACGCGAGCTAGGTCGCCGAACACTACAGTATCAATTATTTTCTATCGGGGAGGGCTAGGGCTCTTACGTACGACTTCCTGGTGTCTAGTCACCGGGAGGGATTATTGTTTGATATTTTCCAATCGCTCAACACGAACTGTCTAGACTGAAGTGTGAGTATCGTGTACAAAGTCGTTCGTGATGAATCGCGACGCTCAGGCGTTGCTGGATGACCTAGGGCTAACACACCAGCATATCACGTTCCTAGGTGACGTTCAGGTGAGAGACGAAGACGAAATCGGCAGAGGATCAGATGCTGTTGTCTACAAGGTCAACTGGCAAGGTATCGATATCGCTCTCAAAGTTTTACATCCTGTGTTGGTTGAGCCAGGTGTACAGGATAGAGAGCGTAAGATCAGAGCGTTTGGCCAAGAGTTGTTTCGTCTTAGCAGGGTGCATCACCCGAACCTGTGTCAACTGATAGGATTAGCTCGGGTAAGGGGAAATGCTGCGTTGGCCCTGGAGTTATTGTCGGCGTCTCTAGAAGAGGTTAGCATTGGAGATGGCAGAGAAGATGCTCCTAAGCTCGTGTCGTATCTCTGCGACGCTAGTGCAGGACTTCGCTATCTGCATTCATTCGCAATCATTCACCGCGATCTAGCGCCCAAGAACGTGCTTGTGAAAAATGGCACGGCCAAAGTCAGTGATTTCGGCGTTGCTAAATTTGTGCGCTTGACCTCACCTCGACAACAACAGCACCAAGTCCAATCGGCCATGGACATGACTCGCTGCCCAGGTACACTGCCGTTCATGCCACCTGAGGCGTTGACTGAGGCTCCGGATTACGATCGTCCATTGGACGTGTTTTCGCTAGGTGTAATGATGCTGAGCGTTCTAACAGGAGTAATGCCTGGCATCGAGTTGATCACAGCGCCACATTTCGTCGTCGTGCGGGAACGTGGCCAACAAGTCGAAGAAGTGATTCCGGAGACAACACGCAGAGCACGCTACCTAGCACGCTTGCCAGATGGACATCCATTGAAGCCATTGATACACCGCTGCCTCTCTAACCGTCCTGGGGACCGACCGTCAGCCGAGCAAATGCACGAAGAGATCAAACGTTTCCTGGCCATGTTCAACAGTATCTTGCCGGTGAGTATTTTTATTTTTGGAACGTATCGTCCCTGAGCCTGAGGGTATTACAACTACGGTAGACCGGTAACCATGGTAACCTCAAACCAATCACTCCCCCATACACATAGTTGTACTGTACAGACGCACTCACACTGACTGTCCACACAATAAGGCTGCGTTTACACGGAGGCGAAATGAAACGGAACGAAACGAAACGGAAAGAAAACGGGCTGACCTCGAATCGTTTTCAAACCGTTTACACGAGAACGGCAAATCGTTTTGAACCGTTTACACGAAAAGGGAAAACAGGCTGGAGTTAGCACGCGCTGGCTTGGCGCAAGGGCGGGAAGTAACACGTTAGTTTGAGTTGGTACGTGCTGGTGGTCGCAAGGGTTGGGTATTTCCCGAGAAATATACTCCAGCGCGGAATGGTTTCAATGACTGCGCTCCGTCTCCAATTGTTTTCACTATTTGCACGGTTTACACGAGAACGAAAAACGTTTTGAAAACGTTTCAAAACACTTTGAAGTGCGTTTCCATTTCGTTCCGTTTAGGTATCGTTTTCGGGCGTTGTCGTGTAAACGATAGTAGTAAATGCAACGATTTCGTTCCGTTTAGGTCGTACTTCGTTGTCGTGTAAACGCAAATTGTTTTCAATCGTTGTCGTGTAAACGCAGCCTAATAATAATGATGAGTGTTTGTGTACGCACCCACTCACACTGTCAAAGGGGAAGTCCGGTGGAAAAGTTAAACTTCAGGGTCCGTAGAGTTTCGGGCGCTGAGTCGAATGGTGTCGGTCCCACGTGTCTCCGACAAAGCGTTCTTGAGATATTTCCGTTTGAAAAACTGAGTTTCGGGGGCTGCGCCGTAACGTCATGCGGCCGCGCCACACCCTCCGCAACGTCATAGCGTGCAGCTAGGTCGATTCAATGGAGTGCGTGAAAGCAATAGGGTCAATGCTATTTCGAATGATTTGGCGACCGATGGTAGGTCGTGCAAGCGACCCTGAGGCTGAAGACGTAACGCTATGTGCATGTGAGAGTGAGGATGCAGCCATGGCTGACCTTCAAGAGTTCGGTCTGGGGCCGGGAACCTCGGTATTCTGCTGAAGAAGTGGCCGCTCGGGCCGATCAAGAGTGAGCGCTGCTGCGTTTCCGTCTGATGAAGAAGCAGCAGCTACTGCAGACAAGGTTGATATAGTTATTAGGTCTCTGGAGAGCAGAGTCGCCAAAATGGAGAAGAGATATGCGAGTGCTCTAAATGTTATTCCATACCGATTCGCTTGGACTCCAGTAGCCTGCCCCATGGTGATGTTTTGGTGCGAACTTGGCACTAGTATTTCGGACTGCTCGATTGGAGAACAGTGCAGGCTCTTTGAACCACGGGCACGACTCTTCGATTCAAGGCTCGCAACAATACGGGATGTGAAAGTTTTAGGTCCGGGAGCTGTTCGCTGTTTTGTCACTTGTCACGGATGTGCACTCATCGCTGTAGCGTAAAATAATGAAGCTGGACTATTCCATGTGGAAAACTAGAATTTTCTTTTTCAAAGCACAACCACCTGCACCGGCAAGGAGAAACCCTGTGCTCTCACATTAGCGCAACTTTAACCGCGCACCACACATTAGCGCATCCAAATGGCACTTGTCCATAAATCGCGCAGGCTCATTGGAGCATCACTTTTGAGAGCATGTCCCAATGTAGCGCAACTTTTTTGATGTTTCACTAAGTGCAGCGCTACTCTTGAGGCAGTACGCTAAACACCGCGCTTTATCACGTTTTATAATTCTGTGGTTCATTCTATGGAGGTCATTCTTTGCCGGACAATCCTTCAAAGTTACTGTGGCTCTACCATGCAAAACAACAAAAGGTGGGGAAGGAGCTTCGTGCAACGGCTATCTATAGAATGGACAAACGGAAGAGAGACGGGACCATCACGTGGCGGTGTGCTGAAGCTGCTTGCAGAGGGAGGCTAATGACAACGGACGTGTTGCTGCAAGACAAAGAAGACTCGTCCCTGGAAGAAGTGGGAGAGCACCATCACCCTCCAAATCCTGAGGCAACTCAAGTCCGTGGGATAGTGACAAGAATGAAACAAAGAGCCAGACAGGAATCCCTTTCTATTCCTTCTATTTACCGGGAAGAGACAGCGAACATCGCCCCAAATGTTGCCGCCGCCATTCCGTCCTTTCATTTACAACACCGAAACGCACGTTATAATTCCCAGACTACATGACTGTACATACGGCTGGTACGAGTGTAGTACATGACAAGCCCATGCCTTAACTACCGTATTTCCCGGGGTATAAGCCGCCCTTTTTTTCGCTAAAAATCGGACCAAAATCGCCCCTGCGGCTTATACACCGAATATGCTTGCGCGAATGAATGCTTAGCATACATCAGTATGCATGCTGACGTCATGTGACATGTCATTCGACTCAGCTTCGCGCCTGTGTTGCTATCCCGGCACTTTTACTAGTTTTAGTGCGCGGGCTACACCATACGGTACGCGTATACGGGGACTCTATTTTTCATAATCTGATCTAACATGCTATTTAGCTCCATGACCATAATAAATTTGTAGAAAGGCCATTTTGTCAATGAGTGTGAAAAATCTTGGTTTGTGGGTGCGGCTTATACTCCGAATACCAACTTTTAGTCAATATTTTGCCTCAAAAAGGGGGGTGCGGCTTATACCCCGGTGCGGCTTATACCCCGGAAAATACGGTAGTTCTTTTGAGTCTTGTGACTCGAGTCTTGTTGTAGCTACCCCAGCACGGCAGTGCGGGAGTAGTTCCGTGTGTGATGAGTTTGTTGACTACACTACAGCTAGCATGCACGCAGCGCAGAGCTAGAGGCCAGTGCAGTACGGAGGGAAACGTCCAATTCGGAAACGGCTAAAATACGGGATAACCTCGAGGTTTGCCGAGATGAAAATCACAGGGTAGATAGTGTTTGTAACACTGAATTGAATGGTCTTGGTCCGAATATGCTGCGACGAACGGTTGCCCAATCGACCGCGCTCCGAATATGGCCATTTTGTACACAACTAGATGGTGTGGCTGCACGCTGTGACGTCATCACCTGGATCTGGGTGATGCACGATCAAATTCGCACATGTTCGTTTGGGCGTATCTGACGAACCATAGACCGCAGCCTCCTCGGACAAAGACCATTCGACTCAGCGCCCCGAACTCTACGGACTCTGAAATTTAAATTTTCACCGGACTTCCCCTTTAGTGATACGAGTGTTCCTGAACTACTCGCATTACGCTCACATACTTGTACATTATTACAAAGCAGCGAATGCAAGTCATCACTGCATGTATGTTGACACTGTTAGGAACTGTTGATGAGAAACAGTACAGTGAAACCTGTGTTTGCTGGATGCTGTACCAAGCGTAATCCTGTATTGATAAGACCATTTTTCATGCCCCAAAGTGCTGTGGACTGAACTTGCATGCCTGGATCAAGCGGAATACTGTCATATCAGGACAGTTTCCACTGCACCAAGGGAGTCTGGTCAGACACTTGAATAGTCTGACTGTGCAATTTTGTCTGTATGTTTGTCCATCTGCAGGTGTGTCAGTCTGTTTTTTGTGTCTCTGTCTGTGTGTGTGTGTTTGTGTTTGTGTGCATGCGTGTGTGTGTGTGTGTGTGTGTGTGTGTGTGTGTGTGTGTGTGTGTGTGTGTGTGTGTGTGTGTGTGTGTGTGTGCATGTGTGTGTGTGTGTGAGTGTGTATGGGTACGTGTGCCTTCCTGTGTCTCTGTCTATCTGATTGTTTTCTTCATGCTGTACAGAATCAGCCTAGCACTGCTGGTTCAGGGGTTACCAGGCAACTGGAGTCGATTTCACAGCAGCTAAGCCAGCAAGCTACATGCATTGCTGACATCACCGCACGCAGCTCTGCAGTAGAGGACCAACTCAGCACCATAACACAGCGTCTTGTCAACACTCAGCTGGAAACCACCGCCATCCGTAGCCAACTGCAGACTACGAACCAACAAGTGACCGTAATCAATGACCGCGTGCACCGCACCAGCCAACAGGTGACTGGCTTGCGCGACCGACAGGAGACTACACACCAACAAGTGACTGAGATCCGTGACCGACACGTGACTACGAACCAGCATGTGACTGAGATCCTTGACCGACAGGAGGCTATGCAGCAACAAGTGACTGAGATCCGTGACCGCCTGGAGACTACGACCGAACAAGTCACCAGCCTGCAAGGACATGTAGCACTAGTTGCCAGTCAACAGACAGACCGTGCATCCATCAGTGAGCAGATAGATGAGACCAGCAGCCGAGCAAATGATCAACTATCACAACATCGCTCTACACTGCAGGTATGAACGTGTGTAATTAATTCATTACCCTTTCAAAGGATAAGTCGGGGAAGTAAACTGCCTGAAAAGAGAAAAAAAATGCCAGATCCACCAGGACTTGAACTCAGGACCTTGCTTATCATGAGATTGACATGTCATTTTGGCCATGAGCTCAAATGGTTAGAGTACTGGTCATGACAAGCATGATCCTCAGACCTGGGTCTAAGTCCTCGCAGGTCTGGCATTTTTTCCGGCAGTTGACTGATCCTTTGAAAACTGAAGTTCTCCTAATCCTTTAAAAATTAATTACCTTTGTTTCTATAAGACAGTCACGTGCAACATCGTCATATTTTACGATTCCCTCAGCCGCTCTTGAACCTACCTGGCTCTGGTCCGGTTGCAAGAGTTGACCCAGTTGTTTTCTGTTTTTTTAATGTTTAAAGCAGCATTGGGTATTACGCTCCTCGGCTTTCGTCTTGTTGAGCACTCTCATTAGGCTGCTCTAGTGCTGCTGGATCATGCTATGCCCGCTATGCCCTCAATGCCCGCTACTTTTTGTAGTTTGAGCACTCTGGCGCTAGAGCGATGAGCTATCTTAATGTCTGTGGTGCCTCCTTTGCACCATGGCTGGTAGCCCGGCCTATTTAGCTCATAGCTGTACTGATGAGGCCTTTATGGCCGAGACAGCTTGCTGTCTACAGCATTGGGTAATGTTTAAAGCGCACGGTCCTGCTGATGAGGTGGGGTAACCGTGAGTGGGACAGAATACTAGGACAAACAGACAGAAGGGGGTAGGACAGGCAAAAGCAAGGTGCAGGTGAGGTGAGTCCAGCTAGTCCGACCAGAGTTCTCGGAGTCAGTACTGGATGCGCGCACCAGGAAGGGGTGAGGGCGGGTTGAGGTGGGAGAGGAATGTAGTACTAAAATAGCAGCATAAAGTAGAAAATCAAATGCAGGCGTAAGGCGTTTGTACAGTGTTATGGTTCTTAGTTGATCTTAGTTGCCGTCTGTGGCCCACAGCCAGTCCTCGAAGGTGCTTCCAGGAAGCTGCCTTGAAAGCAGGCAGACTGTTCAACGATTGTTCTTGCCGGATGAGAGCAGGGGGTAGGCAGTTCCATTCACCGATGAGGGCGAATGGGAAGGATCTCCTGATGTAATCTGGAGCACCTGGTGGAAGTGGGTTGATGAGCTGGTGCTGATAGACTGGTACGTCCTAACTTGCGTGTTCGTGGCGTATGAACCCTGGGGGCAGCTGGCGGGAGCATGGCTTCTAGTTGCTGTGGGCTCTACCCACACTGCAGCTTGAAAAAGAAGCAGAGGCCAGAGAGGGTGCGTCGGGCAGCAAGGCTCTGGAGCAGAGTACCTGGTCATATGATTGCCATCGCATTGCTATGGATTCGATCAAGTCGGGCGAGGTTGCTTGGAGCAGCAGATATCCAGACCAGGGCAGCGTACTCTAGCATAGAGAGGACAAAGCCATGGTACACTGTTTGGCGTCCTTTAGAGTCGAGAATTCGAGCTACACGGCGTAGGAGTCCAAGCCTCTGGCTGGCCCTAACTGCTGTACTTGCCGTTGAAACCAAGTACTTGTGTGCGCGTGTGTGTGCGTGCACGTGTGCGCATGCCTTTGTGACCATGCACCGGTGTGTGCATGTCAATGTGTGTGTGTGTGTGTGTACATGCTTATGTTTTTCTGTACCTTTCAGGCTCAGGGCAGTAGCAGCGACTCTGGACGACCTGCAATGGATAGTGGTAGAGTAAGACCAATTTCTAGTGCGGAATCCGGAGCCACCAGGACCACTCCAGCTTCCGGTGTAAGGAGAGATTAGTGCACAAACCCTGATGGGCTTTGATACCATGCATGGTGGAACAATCTTACTTCAATAAAACTCTGAAGACTGAATTTTTTGAAACAGGCAAAGACCCAGCTGCAACCCGTTGGGTTGGCTCAGGCCACCCCGACGAGCCGGCCAATTTTGTTGTAGCAGTAAAGCAATGTACGGTTAGCGCAGCTTAGTGAAAAGCGGTGAATTCACATCTCGCAAATCAAGAATCAGTACGGACTGAAATCCAAATGACAGTGTCCACATCCTTTATTGCTGAACCCACAAATAATTGTGATACAGATTATAAACCATTCGAGGTAGAAGAGAAAGCCATTAAAAAGAAAAGAAAAAAGAAAAAAAGGTTATAGTACCATGCCAGACGGCTATAATTAAGTCATGTACCAATTGTAGTACATGACGTAGTAGTCAAGCACCTACAGAATACTTTGCAGGATAATATTTAAATTGCCTAGCATGCCTACAGATCCGCAGAGCATGCCAATGTTAAATAGGCCAACAAATGAATACCGAAGGCGGTTACATGGACAGAAGGCGACATCGGTCGAGAAAAGATGGGCCTATCTAAATCTATATCTAAATGACAGTAGTGACAGCTGTGGGTGCCGTACACAACCGTTGCATACATACCAGGACGGGAAGGGTGTGGATTGTTGGGCAGTTTGGGGGCTACTTTTGTGTCAGTTTACGGCATGTAGGGTGTGGGTTGGTATTGGGGTTGTGTGGTGTAGGCTGGGCCGGCAGGTGCTGTGTTGCTTGCACGTCTATTTGCTGCTGTGTGTGTATATGTGTGTGTGTATATATATATATATGTGTGTGTGTGTGCTTGATGGCACGTGTGTGCATGATCGCTTCCAGGGCTACCCCGCTAACATTCTCCTTTGTTTACGTGTGTAGGTTGGTGAAAATTCTCGACAGCACTCTGCAGCACCTGCCGCACGTTCTCTGGCTCTCACACCAGAGAAGATTGAGCGTATCGCGAAGAAGAGAAAGGTATGATCAAAGATGTCTTGCTGTTGATCTTTCTCTTCCCAATCTTATAACTAGGGGTTGAACTATAATTATACGCATTGATTGTACTTGTATTCCTGTGACCACACCCCTACAAACTCACACTACTTGCTGTACCACCTTTCAGTATAGAGTGATCAACCACTTTCAGGTTTATGACGAGTACAGTCGTCACGCAGACCCGTCTTATCTGGGATATAATGAATGTGCTTGCCATGTACGTTTTGTCCAGTGCATACTGCAACACTGGATAGTGCTAGTGTTTCAAACCAACATGAATACTTTGAACGAGTAGTAAATAGTTTAATCTGTCACCGAGCGAATATTCTGTACCCTATACAACACACACGCACACACACACGCACGCTCACACACACACACACACACACACACACACACACACACACACACACACACACACACACACACACTGTACTTACTGTACTGGTTAACTGCCAAAATTGGTCACGTGGGTCTCCCCGGGAGAGGGGAGAGAGGAACTCAAAAGGAATCTTGGAAAGAGGACTCAAATGGCTATTGAACCACCCACCGGCCTATACCTCCTGAAATCCCCAAACTATGGGTGGACTTGCAAATGATCCCACTTCCTGGCTCATCACACCTCAGTGGGTGTGGGCAATGTGCAGAAAAAGGATTGACGGCATAAGGTTATCCGTCGAGGGATCCAACTGCAGTAACCCCTGTTTGAATTTGATGTCCATGTAAACAAATTTACTAAACTAATATTCAAATACAGCTGTACTGGGCCGCAGTGAATGTGCCCCGAACCCACGAGTGTACTTGACAGGGGACATTCAGCAGCTGCCTGTCAGTGTCAGCGATCCACGATGGCTCAAGAGAAGGTTGCTTCAACTCGGACAACTAATAATTGTTACTTGAAACATCTAAAATTTTATAGGACTTGTAGACCTAAGCTATGTGCTGCATTTGCATTCTCTCCGCCAAAGCGGAGCGTTGACGAACACAGTACCGGTACATGTATGTGTGACCGCTGCATCGTGTGTTCCGCGAAAGCGGCTGCGGCAGCTACGCTTTTTGCCTCCACAAAAGCGGTGCAAGCGTTTCATGTGTGACCGCAGCCTTAGGGCGCGTTCAGACTGGCGTAAAACGCAAGCGGAATGTGAAAGTTGTAAAGGTGAATCACTCACGTGACGTTCCCGCCAGCGTAAACACGGAAAAGGTTTCCCAACACTGTGCAGGCCGGTTGAATGCAGACCGAAAATCCCGCTCACTACATCCATGTTTCCTTTGTGCAAGGCCACGAGTTCCCAAGTAACTGTGGGTCGCAGCACGGCAGGAAAAAATCCTTCCGCTTCCAAGCAGGACTTGAACCTGGTATCCTCTGTTTCTCAACCGTGGTCTTAGACTATTCCACTATGCCTGCCTGCTGCCTGAGCCCGACACTGAAGAGAATTGTTGTGCTTAGGGAGTTAATATCAAGTCGGAGTATAACAGGGACAATGTTAGTGAAGCGAGCAGCCTCCGTGGCGTTCGGCAAATTATAGCGCCACAAAGACAATTACAAGGAAGAAAAGAGCTATCCGTAAATCCGAAATATTGAAATTGCTTCTACTGTGATCTACACAATTGCACTGATGCACTGAGTCACAATCCATAGACGGTATGGATGCACCGTGACTGTGAAAGATTAAGTCTCAAGCGAACCGTGACATGTTTTTCTCTTTCCATTACACCAAACTACCCATATGCCATACCGAGCTGCCGAGTACAAAATGCGAAACATCTGATAGCACCCTATTAGGTAGGGTTCACACATGTCCCCTGCACTTATGCGTGTTCACACATTTGAGTATTTCCAATATCACATTAAATTTGTTATTAGTTTATTGTAGATACTGATCTTCCTCATGTTCACTGCATCATTGTTCTGTACTTAGTGTGTGTGTGTGTGTGTGTGTGTGTGTGTGTGTGTGTGTGTGTGTGTGTGTGTGTGTGTGTGTGTGTGTGTGTGTGTGTGTGTGTGTGTGTGTGTGTGTGTGTCTTCTCCAGTGGATCGAAGTGTCAACCCCCAGTGATGATCATTTAAAACTCATCACGCACCAGAACACTCTCGTGGCCGTCTGGACGGAGGTGTTCGACAGCATTACAAGCATCCAGCAGACTACAGACATGCACCACTGGACTGAGCTTCCGCGTCCGCGTGGTTCGTTCCAATGCCCGTCCCTTGCAAGCAATGGTCAGGATTTGTACATGTATTGTCATGACAACCAAGATCAACCGTTTCTACTACAGTACGAGCAGAATGATAGGCAGTGGGTGAAAGTGGCAAAGGTGCCATGTGGCCAGCACAGAGGCTGTATTGTACATGCTACTGACACTAGTGTTAGTCTTCTAGGTGGTATCACCCCTAGGTTGGCTAGGCAAGCTGTCAAGCGTGTTAGCTGTTACACACTTCTTGACAAGCAGTGGAGATCCTCTGCTATCCCTTCCTGGCCTGCACCACATGCACTTCCATGTGACTGTGCAAAAGCATCGCTTGTAACCTGTGGTGGTTCACTCTACATCATTGGTGGTAGCACGGGGTGTTTCCTCCAGTACACTGACGATGGTCATTGGCAGGAGGTTCCAGAACCAGATGAGGTAGACCTGAAGAGCAGCTTGGCATGCTCACTGTCTGATGATAATCTAGTCATCACCGGCAGTACAGGATTCTGGCAATCTCCGTGTACTGTGTACAATGTACGTACGCGTTATGTCTATGATCTGCCCGGTGTAGAGTGCGTTACCCTTTCGTCACTAGCGCTACTCAATGGAGTACTAGTGCTCAGTACAGAAGGTGGCAGCCTCTACACCCTGGACATGAACATTTGAGCCGGTCGTGTGCAGCAAAGGACCACTGCTGTGCCATGTTCGTGTTCTGTACATTCTACTTCCAGTTTTGCTGATGATTGGATGGCATAACTGGATGTTTCCTTTGCAGACTTTCTCAACTTGACCCTGTACTCCATGTACATGTACATGGTGATACAGTAGACTAACTTCATGTTCCTGTACATATCCACACGTATACATTGACAATGTACAATGTAAGCGTAGAACTGGATTTCCTTGCCGCTGGTCCTGATGTTTATGAGTGCTATTTGTTTACTAACATTTATGCATTGCCTGTTGTACTAAGGATTGTATGATAACATTACTGGCTATTCATGGGACTGGATTGCGTCATTGCTTTTGCTGGATGATGTCATTCCTAAGTATTGTTAGCCTAAGGACTGGACGGTGTCAATGAACTGCTTTAATTTCCCCCTGTCGTGTATGCACGCTGATTTTTCTTTCCAAGTTTTAATACGTGTTTTTTCTTGCTTTTGCGATTTTTTCACTTTATGCGCGGTTCGTAGCATGACGATATAATACTGTGTGAAATGTGTAGCGAGCGTGTGTGGGTATTTCCCTGGGGAATGTCTTCTTGCACTTGAACTGGCAAGAACACGGTTCCGAGTTCTAGTGGTTACAATTCCTATCTCAGTAGCACTAGACTACAGCACCGTCGGTGGCCGAAGAACTGGGGGGTCAGCTCCCTAGCCTAGACCGTTCTTATTTTCATGTACTACAGTCGATGGGCAGTTAAGTCCTCGTGTATACATTGGTATGCTGTGCTTGTTGAAATTCTAGCCTGGCCGTTCTGCGGCGCTCCGTTCTTCGGCACTCCGTCCTTCGGCGCTCCGTGCTTCGGCGCTCCGTTCTTCGGCGCTCCGTTCTTCGGCGCTCCGTTCTTTGGCGCTCCGTTCTTCGGCGCTCCGTTCTTCGGCGCTCCGTTCCTCGGCGCTCCGTTCTTCGACGCTCCGTTCTTCGGCGCTCCGTTCTTCGGCGCTCCGTTCTTCGGCGCTCCGTTCTTCGGCGCTCCGTTCTTCGGCGCCCCGTTCTTCGGCGCCCCGTTCTTCGGCGCTCGGTTCTTCGGCGCTCGGTTCTTCGGCGCTCCGTTCTTCGGCGCTCCGTTCTTCTGCGCTCCGTTCTTCGGCGCTCCGTTCTTCGGCGCTCCGTTCTTCGGCGCTCCGTTTAGGCCTTGACAGATTATGCTAGCATAATTTTTCGCATAATTCCTACCAAAATCGAATCATCGCATAATTCGAGGCAAAATGCATACGAATCGCATAAAATTGGAATAATCTGCCGGTTCGCATCAAATTCCATACAGTTGTACATGTTCTACAAGTACAAGTACAAGTAAATGCACAAGGAAGTCGTACATGTAGGTTTACGACTCCCTTGATAACATGTCCAGTCCACTACAATCAGTGACGGCCGTAGCTGTAGGTCGGACGGTGCGTTGACCCCGTTGAACATTTGCTACTACAGTACAACACCCTCTACAAAAATAATTCCCCTGTTATTTTGCACAGAACCATTAAACATCAGCAGCATACATGTATGTGAGCACAATGCGGCATAATAATTATGATAACTTTTAGCCTAAAAATAGCATAATTCTGCAATTTTTTCAGCAATGCGAAAAGCATAATTTCACGAAAATATTAGCATAATCTGTCAAGGCGCTCCGTGCTTCAGCGCCCGACAGTACCGTAGTAATGTCATGTAGTTCTAGTGCTGAACAATTAGAACATGTGCATGTATAGTGAGTAGATGGTTGCTAGTGACAACGCATGACGAAGTCCTGAGAACGGAATTCTGTCAATGCTATGGGCTAGCTCCCAGGTACTGGAGTCTATGATGGATTGCAGAAAAACAGCTCATAGAACGACAGTTCACTGAATTCCTCTACATGTACCTTGAAAGGCGATTCACAGTACCACATTTCATAGAAAAGCATGCCTTATCGAAAGATACAATTCACCGAAATCACATTCATAGATAGTTTCCTACACCGAAAGAAATTTTCACAGCTGGCTCTTTGACCAAATGATCAGTTCACAAAATAAAACCTCGGCATGAATAATCCAACACTGTTGCTCCGAATTTTAATTTCTCGTGATTGCATGATGCCACGCATAAAAATGGGAAATAAATGAAACAAATGTTGAAATAAAACGACGTTCAGTATCATTGTATAACATTTATGCCGCAATGTTTTACGCATGTCCCCGCTTCTAGAGGCACGGTAAACAAGGCCAAATCATGGGCAATCCCCCTCGGGACTGAAATCGGCTTTGGTGTGATTGTGGGAAGTACATGTGGGCATGAGGCCGCTGCATAACCGTTTGTGCTCCGTTCAAACATAGCAATTGGATACAGTATTGTCTGCACCCTGTGGCTCATGCTTTTCATGCATGCTCTGCTCCATTCTCTGCTCCATTCCATCAAACAACGAGTGCCCTTGTTGTCTGGTTCGTCTTTTCTGTCGAACCTCCAATACATCGCCTCGGCCCGTCCTCATTTCTCGACAAAATAGCCATGTCCTGTACTAAGCACAACAGCCACTTTTTTCCACTACACTTCTTAGTAGTCACTCCATGGACCATGATGGAAACACACAATTATACCGCCATAAGCGCCAACTATGCTTTCCCCAAATCAGCCCGTTTTTCGTCCATTCCGCTTTTCGCTCGGTCCAAAATACATCAAATTCGGCTTCAAAATCAGCTGTTTCTTCGCAAATCGGCTGCAAACTTGAAACATTCAGTGAAGTGGTGGACATCACGCAACTGCATTGTAAATAAAAGGGGGGTTGTCTACTGACAACCGCTCTATTGAGTTGGTATTCATTCGTTAGATGAAAATTCTTTTATTGATGATTTCGAAAAATTATTTTAATAATTTTTCGATGGGTGACTGGCCCGAAACGTTAAAAGGTTTCGGGCAAAAAACGTTTCGGGCCAGTCACCCATCGTCAGAACAATGTACAAGGAGCGAACCTGGCCTTTTTATACGAAAGCAAGCGAGAGCGTATGTATGTCCATGTACAAAAAAAACGAAACACACGAATCTCGATGGACTCCCTAATTTTGCTTCTGTTCATCCGTGTTTCCACAGCCAGTACTTGGGCCTCAATGAAAATCACATCTGTGCTCTTGATGGTTCCGTGCTGCATCATATTATAGATAATGCTGTGGGAATCACACATGCAGCTCGGCAAACCAGAGGAGCATGAGATGCAGGGGTTGAGCGGTCTTCCTCGCCTCCGCTGTTCTCGGCGCTGCACTCGTTCTTGTGTTACGCTGCACTTCGATGGATTCAGCGCTGACTTCACGAGGGCATCTTCAGTGAGGTTGAGAGTGTGTTCAGACACAACATTGACCGGGAACCCCGAGCGCTCGACCAAATCCCTCGCTTTCCGCTGAATGTCTTGTGAGCGAAAGGGTAGCTTCAGTATAGCGGCATCTTTTTTGTTATGGCTCACGTCGTTGGGCGGTGTGGCAACCTTTCTGAGCGATCTCTTCGATGATTGCCTCGGGATAGTTGTTGCTTCGCTGCAATTTCTTCGTCATACCGAGACTCTCACAGGCTTGTGCCAGTGAGGACGAATTCGTTCGAGCTCTGACGAAGTGCTGCTTACCGATTGCATACTTGACGGAGCGAGGCACTTGGGGATGAAAGTCCACGTTGACACCACTGTCACTAGGCTTCCTGTACAGGCGGTGTGTAATGTTGCCGTCAGGGGCAACCTCAAAGCGAAAGTCAAGAAATGTAACCGATTTTTTTCGGCCTCTTTTACGGCCAAATTAACACAATGGTTTAAAATGCAATAAATCATACACTGGAGAAGAAATCAGAAAAATACATGTGTAAAATAAAGAATTTCAAACCCAAACCAAAAAAAACTTCAAAACAATTTTTTTATATTTGAAGTCGGTTCCTTCAACGAGGAGCACACGCTTCTTCGTGTGCTCCTCGTTGGAGCAGCCAACTTCATGACTAATACCGCCGAAGTCGCAACTTCTAAGTTCAATTTTTTATAATTAAAAAAAACTCAATCAATAAACTCAATTCAAAAGGAGAAAAACAATAACAAAACAAAAACACTGTACTAAGAACACCAATAACTTCATCAAGAAAAATCCAAAAAAACAACAACTTGATAAACAAATAAACACAGTATAGAAGATCAGAAAATTACGTAACAAGCCGAAACTCAGCCACCACGACGGAACTATCCACAAAACGTTGGACGGGGAAACCCCGACGAGAACGAGCACCACGAATACAAAGAATACTGGATCTCAGTAAGGAGAAAGAGAGGCGGGCACGCAGCAGACTCATGACAACAGAGTATTCGCTACCAGAAGTCTCACATTGCAAGCGACAAAGACGTTTAAAAAAAAGACAGTGCACAACGGACTACAACCACCATGAGTACCGAAGAAATGGAACCGATCCATTTTCACTGCTTTCGTAAGTGAACTTGATATTAGGGTGCTAGCTGTTGCAGTGGGCAATGAATGTCTGTAGAGTATCTGAGCCATAGATCCAAATTAAATTGGTATCGTCGATGTACCTTACATAGAGAGATGGCTGGAGAGTCCAGCAGACAAGTCTCGACTAGCCCTTTCCCAAAGATGCCAAAGAATTTCGCAACTTATGCTTTTCGCAACCATGCCAAAACAATTTCAAGTTGCTGAAATCGCATCCATATTTTCAGAAAAAGCTCAAAAGTTGCTAATATCGCAACTCCGAATAGGAAAGTTCTTGTGCGAAAACCACCAAAAAAGAGCAGAAATAGCAGAAGTGCAGCGACAGCAAACTCGTACACCCCTTTCTGCTGTGAACTACCACTTTACACAGTGCCAGTAGCCTTTTGCACATACATGTACTTGTACATGTATCCGTCATCAATCCAGTGCACAGAAAAGGGAATGCACATTATCGTAACTACCGATGATCTACTGTTTCTCTGAAACGAGTCTCAAGGCAGGCGAGAAATGAGCGAGTGTGCAACTAATAATCATTAATTTTGTCCGACATGTAGTTTGTGACTTGACCTTTCGACCCCATGCCATGGGGCCAAGGACCCCAAGGTTGCGAAATAGTTCGCAAAATGAAGATTGTTGCGAAATTGCGATTTCTTCCAAAACAACGAAAAGTTGCGAAAAAAGTGGCGAGCATCTTTGGGAAAGGGCTAGTCTCGACGCAGTGCATGAAGACAATAGCAAACGGAGGAGCGAGTTGGTTGCCCATGGCAACACCTTCCTTCTGTCTATAGAATTGACTATATCCCTATATCCCCTCCTTTTCGAAAATGTATTTCACCAATAAAATAAGGCTTGGAATTTTTTAAACATGAATATTGACGGACTTGCCCCTTCTGTTCATGCATTGCCCTGCTCTAGTAATGGTTCATGAATCCGCCCAGTCCACATTCCTTCTCCGTTTCTCTCTACTAATGGTTCATGAATCCGCCCAGTCCACATTCCTTCTCCGTTTTTCTTTCCTTTCAGTTGCATCTTCCTCTCTGCTCTGTTTTATTATCTCTT